CAGATAGATTTAGAGGCCTTTACAAACTGTTAAAAAGTGTGGGTTTTTTTTGTTTTGTTTTGTATTTGAGTTTAACCAAACTAACCAGAGCTAACCAAAGAATGAAAGAGTCTCTAGTTAAAGTCTTGGCAAGAACTGCGGTGCTGTAGTCCACATGATCAAGCTTAAAAATGAGATGCTGTTGTAAAATTGTTTCCAAAATAAGGCACTGCTGTGCCTTAAAAAGAGCAATGTCTGGAAAAAGATTAATATTTGTAGTAAAATTAACTTGTTTTGGAGAGGCTTTCTGGACTGAACAGCATGAAATGCTGAGTGAAACARTGTGAAGTATTGCTCTGGATGTCTAATATGACAATAAAGAATAAGGAAGACCGAGTAAAATAACTTCATGTGGCATCATTAGTGGCAATATGATAGAAATAATCTTATTGTTGAATTGGATACTTTTTTTTTTCCTCCACTCAAAAATAGAATATTTGAACAGAGGAGTGCTTCAGCACTCTTCTCTCGCATCTTATTGTCTGTTTAGACTCCTGAAGTAGAAAGCTTTATCGTAATTGCAAATTCCTAAAAGTAAGGATGGCATCTTTAAAATTCAATTATTCTTAAAGTCCCTGAAGTAGCTAAAGGCCACGCTTTCTTATTTTATCTCTAGTTGTTTGTTACATAATCTTAATGAATCAAACTTGTGAAAAATTTACTTTTCTTACGATTTATTCTATAGTTGTGATTTAAAAAAAAAAAACCTTTAAATATGCTTGCCACATGTTGAAGGTTTTGGTTGCTGGCATTTTGTTGCTTATGTCATAGACAAGGACTACAGGAGCAACAAGGTTATCTGGGGAGCTTAATCCCTGTCAAGGTAGATTGGAGGGAGGCAGTGAACCAAAATAGTAATTCAGTTTTTAATTGTCTTCTGTAAACCTCAAGGGAATTCTTATGCCAAATCTTGAATTGTGCAGGGAGCTAGCATCAAACTTTTAAATTTGCTTGAATTTTGTGCATAGTGAGTTTTTAAGCTTAAGCTTAAAATAATGTTTAGCCCTGAGGGAAACCCCCCAAGCTTCTTTTGTTCATATTGAGTAAGTGTGATTTATACTGGTATCTTCAAKGTCCTCATAATCTTTGCAGCAATATTTCCTAACCTTCATATGAAGAAAGCCTACTTGCATTTGATGTGCATAGGTATAGAGTAGCTGGACTGCCTCTTTAAGAGTTATTTCTTAGTGTGCTAGCATACTGAGCAGCCAGGTCTTTAGGGCTTAAAGCATATTACTTTCCAGGTTGCATAATGCAAAATATTTCAAGGCTTTTGTTAATTTATTTCAAACCTACTGAAAGGAATGCAAGCCCAGTGGAGAGCTAATGTCAGTCTTTCTGAAGAAGGACTGTGCAAAATCCAGTCACCTACACTGGAAAAAAAAAATTAATAAAAGCAGGCTCTGGAGTCTAATAAATTAAGTCTTTGAATCTTTATTACTTTTTTTGAAAGACCTGCTGTGTAAAGACTTAAACACTGTAGCTAATTAAAACATTATGCATACTTCTTTCAGTTAGCATTTAAAAAGATAAACTTCCATCAGAATGTTTAGAAGTAGTAACTTTTTTCCTTATGTTCTTTTTTCTTTGCTTCAGCAGGTAAGTTTTGTCATATCACACTTGACTATTAAAGTGGAAGCCAGTATTTTGAAGTATGAAATGCTCAGTTGAGGTATTTAATGAATTAGTGTTAACCAAGGAAAGTGCTTTTAAATACAAGGTAGGCTGAAGACAAGTTTGAACAACCTGTGAAAGATTCCAGAGCTTGTAGTAGGCAATTTTAAATATGTTTTTTTTTTTCAAAAAACCATAATATAATACTGCCATTCAGGGAACATTTGGTTATTGACTACTTTCATTCAAGCAAGTAGCTGAGTAACATCAGGCAAATCAGATCAAGCCTTTTTATTTGCCTACTGTTGAAAGTGTTTTAAAGTATTGTTTTAGCATCCTTTTAGAAACTGTGGAGTTGTATCAAACTGACCTTCAACTGATTTATTTGTAGTGCACTTAATCTTAGATAAAACATGCCTTGTGTATAGCTTCCTTGGGAAGTTATTTGGGTAATTAGCAATGCAAGTGTGATAGTGAAGAGGTAATTAAAAGTTGCAATCTTCTGACATCCTCAGCAAACCTGCCTTCTTTCCTGATGAAAGTATAAAGAAATTATTTGGTTCGTTCTGTACTGGATTATGACAATGAGCAAAATTGTATATCATCAGAATTGTATCCTCTCATCTAAAAGAAAAATAATAATATATTTGCTAGGCACTAATGCTGTTCTAAGTTTTCATTCTATGTTAATATGATAGAACTAGTATAAAGCTAATTTGTGATTTTGTTTACTTAATAAGAGCTAGATGCCTTGAAATATGTCAGAGTATCAGCTTTTGTTCACAGTGGCAGAATTTAGACTACTAAAGAGTGCTGTGTCAACAGTGTAGTTCTTTACATACTGCCAGCGTGACTCCTAGTAAAATTCTTCTCCACTTACCATGTGTTTAATACTGCTTCACAGCAGGGTTGCTTACTGTTGCCTTCCAGCCAATAATACAAAYCCAGAAAAAGCCTTGAAACAAACCTATAACACCAAAGTTTGGTGAGTTTTTTTGTTTGTTTACCATTTGTCTTCTCGAGAGCTGTTTTCCCAGAAGAGCAATTTTACTGTTAAGACAGCTTGGTTTTTCACATGTATGCATTAATGCAAWCATAAATGCATAACACTTTTATAGCTTTTTTCTGATTTTCATCAGTCTTGAAAGTGAGATGTTTAATAGGGACTTCATTGCCTTGTATTGGAAATGTATCCAACTTCTGCTTGCTCTCTGTTAAGTGAGAAGAAAAGGTTGTGAATGAAAGTGTCTTGCACAGGTGGCATGTTTAAGAGTGCCCATTTAACAGATTCTGGAAAAAGTTTAGCTGAGAGATCGTAGTTTCAGCTCTCCAAGAAATAATTTATATAACCTTTTTACTTACTRTATAAAACAAAACGATCTTTTTATGGCTATTAAGTATACTACAGGATATAGGCAAATTTCAGGAAAAAGTGGTAGAAAAGTGGAAAATTTCTCATAGGAGTAGGATCATATAGATGGGACTTCTTGGTAAACATATGTCCTTGTTTATCTTGGATTGATGTAATATTTGGGGGGGGGGTGCAGGTAGAAGTGGACTCAAGCACAAAATAGTAAGCAAACTTCTAAACAGTTTTCTTTGTATGAGACTGAGACTTTCTGCCCTTCATAATATAGCYGAATTTATGTAAATTTTCATGAGAACAAAAAAAAAGTAGATCTTGGAGTTTGTTGTCTACATTATATGCCTTGAGAGTATTTGCTCCAAAAATTGAAGTTCTAAGATTTGCACAGGGATACTGAGAACTTATTAAAATTGAAAAAGTAGTTCTTCATGAGCTATTTTCATTACAGATGACTAAATTATATACATATTAAAATAAGCTTGGAGAAAAACTTAAAAGATTTCAGCCCAACARGGCATGCACCTGCAAAGAACCAATGGTGGTAGCAAGGCTAAGCAGTTAGGTGTGGTGCAACTACCAAAAATTAAGCCAGTCAGATTGAGGTCTTTAATGGAACTAGCAACACATCTTTCAAGTTTGAAATGTAAAATAGGGAACATAAACCCTAGCTTGTGGGCAGAGGAATAACTGGTAGAAAAGTTGACTCCGTTTTGCTGTCTCAGCTAYGTGCTCCTTCTGAGCTTTTGTTTTGCTGKTTTTTTTTTTTGAGCAATTTCCTGGTTGCCCCTGGGTGTGGAGAAGGCAAGCAGCCCAGACAGCCCTTCCTGTGTTGTTGTGCAGAACCCTATATCTTCTTCTCCTATGTTCTGTTTGTTATGAAGACTGAATTTCAAAGAAGAACCAGGAACATGTAGAGCATTGTTGCCACCATGCTAGTATTGGGAATGGCTGTGGTGGTCAAAGAGTGGTGGGGACTTTGAAAGCGTAGATTTGAGCCCAAATTGGAGACCGGTGGTGTGGCAGGTTTCATCTGGGCTGATGAACTTAAAGAGGATGGTTCTGGAATATGCTTTTCAAGTCTGGCAACTTTTTAGCTTATTGAATGTTAAAACAGTAGCACGTAAGAGTTGCACTGCAGAGCTGAAAGCATAGTTGACATTTAACCTTGAAGAAACCRCATGTAGTTTTGGCAGCTCCTTCGTTTTAATCTGCTGGCTCAACACCCTTTATCATCAGGCAGTGCATATATTCAGAATGTTTATGGTAGTTAAGAAAATCTGTAGGGAGAACAAACAATGTTATTTGTCAGACTTACTTGAATGAAACTTAAACAAGCTGTTCATATTTGTTATTATAAAAAAGCTCCAGAGCACAAAACTATAATAGTGTTTTCTTTGTAAAAGGTTTGTTCAGCTAGTGCTGATGGTTCAAAATAGAACAGATTTCTGCAGGTAATAGAGAAGTATATTGCTGTCTGTTTTTGCCCGTGCAAGGTCGTTATTGTGCTTTAACTCTGGGCAGTTCCTTAGATGATTCTTGTTGGATGTGGTGGGTGGGAAACAGTAAATAAGACATCTTGTTGTCCACAGTAACTTCCACTTTTCTTTCTAAGTGTACCCAGCAATGGATAAAACAGCTTGTTTAGCACTATAACTATTGATATTTACATGCTCTGTGAAAAAACTGAGATACAGCACAGGCTGGGCGATGGTCCTTCAGTTTAAGATGTTCAGAAAGGACTGAATTTTTGATTTCCATTCTTGACACTTTCCCTGTGGTTTAACAAATAGCTAATGAACTGGACATACATGCAACAATAAGCAGATATCATTATCTCTTTATGTTTTTGCAAGATTATTCTATGTTTTCCATTATGACATTAAATATTCTAATGACATTTTTAAAATTCAAATTATGATTATTATCGGATGTAACTAAACATTTCCTATTTGCCTTCTGATAATATGTTTATTTAATACAGGGTTTCATATGATGAGGCTTTTATTATGGCCAGTGACCCCTTGGAAGGCTTTCATGAAGTGAACCTTGCTTCACCTACTACGCCAGATCTTCTGGGAGTAAATGAGTCTGGGACTCAGGAACAAACTACCTCACCCAGCGTTATCTATCGACCACATCCTTCTGTTGTGTCCTCTGCACCAATCCAACCCAATGCATTAAATGTTTCTGAACTTCCCACACAACCTGTTTACTCATCTCCCAGACACCTGAATTGTGGAGAAGTATCAGGTGTCAGGTAAGTAGCGTGCATCTGTTTAATTAATGATGTTCATACATAGAATCTATTTCTTTTACTAAAGACATAATTTAATTTTTTTGTAACCTTAAACTGTGTTTGTTAATGGTACATTCAACACCATTAATGTCATTTGTAAAATATTTCATCTAAATATGTTCTTTAAATAAAGAAATATTGCTTTCTTTACAGCATCAATGTTACCGACGCAGTACTTTGTGCTACCTCTGGACTCCAGGGTGGGTCATTCAATCACAGTAATTCCAGAAAGGAAAGCAATAATGCAGAGAGAGAGTTTTTGCAGGGTGCTACAGTAGCAGATGTTGCTGAAGGAAACGAAGATATTTTTGGGTTGAGTACAGACAGTTTATCTCACTTACGGAGCCCRTCTGTACTGGAAGTGAGAGAAAAGGGCTATGAAAGATTGAAAGAAGAACTTGCAAAAGCTCAGAGGGTAAGACTTGTTGTCTTGTTCTCCTGCTGTTTGTTTCTTCAAAGTGCTTCTAATATTATAGAATGGTAGATGGACTGGAAGGTGCAGTCTGAATTCATTTATTATAGAATTATTATGATGTAGTTATTTTATGTAAAGTTATTCTGAGTATTTGCAGTGCAAATGTCCTAGTCGTATTCCCTGATAGCTTCTTTTCCTACTGTCCCTGCTGCTTACCATGGAAAACTTTGGCTGCAAAGTGTGGTTAAATTTTTTTTTTTCCTTTTTAGAAGTAGGCCATTCCTTCATTCTAACTTTTAAGAAGAATGACTTTCTGTCATTCCATTGTTATTTTATAAGTACTTATAGACACTGATTATGTACCTCTTGAGTCTTCTCTCTCCTACGCAATAGGAGTCTAGTGTGTGTCAAGGAATATTGAAATGTTTTAGAACACAGGTGCTTATGATGTATCATAGGGATGCCTGTGTCTAAAAGATACAATAAAGATGTCACTGGTGTTCTTTGGAGTACTATTCCACCACACTTCAAATTGAATATTACCTTTAAAGACACTGTGACTCAGTTCATTTATATTTGTAAAGCGCTTTATCTTGTTTGGATGGAAGGTGCTATATAAATACAAAACCATCATTTATTGTGTTAACATCCTTCCATGCATAAGATTCTTCGTAGATTTTTATGCTGTCTCTATTTGTGCACTTCTTCTCTCTCCATGTTTCCCTCTTTGTGTAGATTTAAGCTCATCCTATTTTATGTTTGAACTTGTTTTCCTCTGTGCTTGTTACCTCTCCCAGTTGAATGTTGTCGTCACTTCTGTCATAGTTGTGTTGCCCTTGTTAATGTCCATCTTAAATATGGATTCTGATACCACTTCTGTTGATGTTTTATCTCTCAGTAGTTGCTTCCTTTTGTGAGGCATTTATCTGGTTAGCATTTGACCAGAGACAGGACACTAACCAGGGCCAAGTTTGTGGACTTTCCATGTGACTATATAATCCTAGCAGTTAAACCTGAAACCTTAGAAAACAAGAACAATTAAAGTTTAAATTTGAGAGAGCTCTCTAGCTGTGGAAGAAGTATAAAAGGACAGTTAACAAACGTCAGCTTCAACTCAGATCTGTTAGAGTTCTCTTTTGAATAAAGAAACACTTTTATTCTATTGTCTCTTAAGCAGAAATGTTTCCTATTTTATCCTGAAACTTGTGTGGGTGATTGTCTAGTTCATAACTCATGCTTTGTTAAGGTAGTTTTATAAGGGAAAGGCATTAAAACTGTTTGAACATACTGTGATAAGTATTTTTCAAACACTTTGCATGTGCCTAACAATAGTAATTCAACTCTAATTTGAATGTTGATTTCAAAGTCTTTGTTAGTCCCGAGCCCATTTGATTGTTTCTCGTCAATGTTTTTCTGGATGGATAGCTTCCCTTTGGCGTGTCTGTTTGAATTTTTCACTTCCAGAGCTGTTCAGTAACAGGAGTCATGGAAGAGGTATTTAAACACAGTACAGAAATATCCAAACTTCTTTAGTGATCATAGTTTTCTTTCACTAGAAAGAGCTAGCTTTTTTTTGTATCCCTCCATCATTTGCCCTACCTAAAAATGCATCCGATTACTTTCTCCCAAAAGTCATGGCTGTGTGTCCACCCCTGCAGTACTGACGTAGGCCAAGTGGTCTTGAAACACTTATTTCCAAATATACCCAGTGTTCAGATGAGTATTCAGTTTAAAAATCTGCAGAAATGTACTCCTTAGTGTTTAGCTTGTTGGGTTTTTAAAGTGTTTTTTATTTTCATTTTTTATGACTTTGGACATTTTTTAATCCCTAAGATTTGTTAGGGAATGTGAGGAAAAATGAGAATTACAATTGGCATTTGAATTTTTGTGGGGTCACTGAGCCTTGAAAACTTGTATACTGCCCCAGGGTGAGCACAACAAACAAATCTGGTATCTTGCCTTTCTCATTTGTTCCAAATGCCTAACCCAAACTATAGACTGTTACCGTATGTAATTTGTTGCAGTTGTGTTTGGAAGGGAAGCTATGAAAGAATGAAGGAATTCTAAAGCTTATGGATTCATTCCCTAATTATTTTCTTCATATCCTTGCTGCTTTGAATAAAACTTTTAATAAGTTCTAYTTTTTGTATTGGAGAATAAATGTGAAAAGAACCCTACATCTGAGACRCACACACACGCACGCACAGTATGGTTCTTGAACAAAATACACAGAAACAAACAAAAAAACTTGTCCCGTTTAGTCATGCCGTGTATTTTAAGACTTCAGGCTTTACTGCTTGAGGCAAACAGCATCACTGGCAAAACAGGGGTGCGTGTAAATCTTCCAAAGGTTTCTTTGTGTCTTGGTGAGAGGAAATATTATCTACTTCTGTGTTCTATTTTCCTTTTCTGTATTTAATTATCTTTTTGTAGGGATGCTTGAGGGGAGAATAGCTAATTTCTACAGAACTACAGATAATAAGTAGGAACTGAATACTATTTGAGAAATACTGTGAAAAAAGCATTATCGTTTAAATGGTACCTAATAAAATAGTTAAAAGGCTGCATATGGAAATGGAAAGATCAAAATGGCAAACAAGTRGAATAAAATGAATAAAAATCAGCTAAAATGCTCAAAATGTACTTCTCTCTCCTCCCCTGCCCTCTCCCCCCGCCAAAAAAAAAAAAAGGAAAAACAGAAAGAAGGGGGGAGAGAATCCTAGAGAGAATCCTTTGAATACTACTTAAGTCTTAAAYGCATGTCAGATCTGGGAACTGAAGTCTACTGAGAGCACCTTTCATCTCGGTGGAAAATCTATTGCTAATCTGRCTGCAGAAATTGAGAGCAAGACCTAGTATCACCATCCTCCAAGGCAGAATGTAATTTTCCATATAGTTGCATAAAAGTCTTCTGCATCRTGAAGATTTTTGGGAAAAAATGCTAATTACCTCCCAGAAATGTGCAGGAAGCAGGAGATTTTTGGCCTTCWTTTTTATGGCTTTGTACCGACTGCTCTCCCAGAGTTTGCTGAAGGCGACTGTGCTCTTTAGGAGCTCCTGGAGGCTTGTGAAGCAAGTTCTTGCTGAGGTGTGTATGAGGTTTCTGATGTCTCAGTGATGGACCTGAGGCCTTGAGCCTTGCTTTTCAGGCACGGTGGTAGTGCCAGAGCCTGTCTGGTGGGGGAGAGGAAAACAGGGAAGGATGAGATGCAATAGGGAATGGGAGGTATGTCCAGAAAATGCTTAAAGGGGCYTTCATAGTGCTTTTTTTCCCCCCCCCTTCCTCTCAATCCTTCTCTACCTTACAAGAGATTCCAGGGTTTAATGGATGGTAAAGAGCTCTTTGAAATTTTCTATCAAACCTTTTGTACTTTCATGCAAAATTATTCCTTTCCCCCCCCCGCCCCCCCCCCCCTTTAAAGTTGGGAAAACCCTGATAAGCTGAGGCATGAGTAACCTTTATACTGCTGAAACTGTATTGAGGTTGCACTGTACATGTGATGTAGGCAGGCTTCCTGCAGCTGTGGTCTAGTGATGCTAAAGACAAGTAACAATGAAATTCAATGAAATTCCATCAAGCTGTTCTAATTTGGTTTCTGTATCACTGCATAAACAATAATTAAGATATAATTGGAGTATAATTTTGGAATTGTATTAGTTGTAAGGAGACTTGTGGGAGGTTAAAATGTGTAATAAAGTATATTTTAAGATTCTGTGAGCAGACCTGAGACAAAAGCTGTTTTTGGAAGAATTTTTTTTTAAACAAGTACTTAAAAAAAAAAAAAAAAACTATCTTAAGGAACAGGTATATATAATATTAGTATTCTGCCTCTTAATATTTAATTTCATCCATATATTAAGTAGAAAAAGCCATTGTACTTCAGAATATTATGAAAATTCTGTTAGGTTAGAGATGCTTTATACTGGCCTGGTAGGTTGTTATATAGCAGGAATAGCTATGTGTGTGCAGCGTTAATTTTATTGCTTCTAGTATTAAGATTAATATTTTGAAAGGCTTTGTTTAGCACAGGTTGTATATGTTCCTCCTCTTTTTAAATTTTTTGTTCTTCCCGTTGTGGTATTAGCTTTAAAAGGCCAAATAATTACTCTTAAGTTAGAATAAATAACTTTCAATTTTCCATAGGAGCTGAAGTTAAAAGATGAAGAATGTGAGAGGCTTTCTAAAGTGCGAGATCAACTTGGACAGGAATTGGAAGAACTTACAGCTAGTCTGTTTGAGGTTTGTTGGAGTCTTCGATGTGATATACTTAAAGGAGGCTGAGCCAGATATTTTTATGTAGAATCAGTGTGTTGTGTGCTGATTTTCTTTTTCTACAACGAGCTTATAAAGGGATCTGTGTCCTCCAGACTGGTGTGTGCTTTGAACTAGAGGCTTAAGAGCAAACAGTAGATTGTTTTTTATTTAGGTGAAAGAGACCTTGCTGAGCTCATCAGCTTCTTAGATGCTAAATGAAGAAAATAAATGAAGAAAATAAGGACAATATATCAGGAATCTTAGAACTATCTTGGCTTATTTTTTGGCATAAGTATTCTGATGCAGCTTCTCTGACTGTCAACAAGGCTGTCTGGATAAGAACTAAATTTGGGGTTGCTGTGGTGGYTAAATACAAAATCAGTTTGAGATTAGTGGAGGCAGTACAGTACTTTTCATGCTTTCAGCTTTTGAATTTGGGGCCTGGCAGCATGTTACTCCCACTAACGTGAAAAGAAATATGAAACTTCGAGTAATGTACCAGGGTGGACATGGCTGCAAAGTGAGAAGCCTGAACTTTAAGTGGGACCTTTTCATTTGAGAAGAGGACAGTGGTGCCAGTAGAGTTTGTGATCTTGCACCACATTTGGAGGAAAAAAGAAATCTGAAATGCATCCTAGAAGCAGGATCAGTTGCCTTTTTATCATGAAATTCCTAGAGGCTAAATTGTGATACACACAACTGTCAGAATAAATTTCWTAATGCAGGGATACTCTAGATATTTAAAATATTACTTGTATTGTTTTTCAGTATATACATAGAAATATAATGTTCGATGTATATTAGKGTATTTAAACCTATGGTATGCTGTTGCTATGGAAGTGCTATCAGAAACTGAAAGATTTTAATATTTAAAATCAAATTGCAAAGTGCTCTGTGGGTTGGCTATACATCATATTTCATCATTCCAGTAGGGCAAAGTTACTTAAATCAAAGTGGCTTTGCAGTGTGGGGAACAAATAAAGACTGGAAAGATGCYTTTTAGTGTAATATATATGTGTATGTTGGTGGAATTAAACTGGCAAAGAAAATCTTGGGCCCACATAAAATTGCCCATGAAATTTTGTATTAGTAACACTTCATAACGTAGATCAATGTGTCACTTAATCTGTGAATCTATTTGAATAAATTTGAAATATAACACATTGGTAATGATAGTTTAATGAGTTAATTATTTATAACCCCAACTGTTATGGATATGTCACTTGAAATATTCTTTTATCATTGGGTTTCACTGAGAGTCTGTAATGAAAGACACCCTTGTAGAGTCTTGATTTTGCACTGGGATCTATAGCCCTTGGTTTTGTGTTTTATTCTGAATCCTGCTAACTGCAGCAACTGTATAAATGGATGCTGGAGCTTTTATTAATGTATCCCAGTGGAGGATCAAGGCTGTTTAGCACAGCTGGGTGTCTATGTTAAGTGATTGCATGTTAGTGTTGGGGTTTGCGACATGCACTGCTTTGCTTTCAAAGGAGCATCCCTAGATGGATACTGCATGGTCAGTGTTAAATGTGTCTGTACACATTGTATAAATATGTATCTTCACATCCCTGCATGTGTCCTGTTAAAGAGACTTCCAAACTCATTATATGTACTTGTGCTGTATGCCAGTGGGAGCCAGATCTTTTCATACCATGATGTATTAACTTTTGTTTTATTTATATAGCGTCCAGATACGTGCTAGGCGCTTTACAGATATAAGAAGGATCCCTATCCCAAGTAATTTAGCCAGGGGCCCTCWTCCTTCAGTTTGTGTTGCCTCAGTAAATGCTAAGAAAGAATAGTAATTTGATCATAGGCAGCAAATGGTTGGATCTGGGCTTACACAAATTCTGCAGACAGAAGTCTTAGAGGTATAAGGTAAAAGGATGTTTTAAAAAAAAATCCCAGTCCTTTTACGCTTTCTTCTTGATTTATTTGCTTACCTACATTAATTTTAGTATTTCCTTTTCTGTTCTATTTAAGAAATGCATATTAATCCATAACCTATTTTTAGCTTTTACTTTGCCTGTTCTACTGGTGATGAGAATGCAGGCTTCATAGTCATTCGACCAGTTTCTTCATGCAGAAATTATAGTTGCCAACTAAAACTATTCTGGCCAGAAGAAGGGAGCAGTTCCTTGAAAGGTGCCATTGTGCCCCGGTTGTTTTTGTTGCTCCTGGTTTGAGCCTTTCCCTTGAGGGATCAAGGAACTTCACTTGGCAGCCACTGAAGCTTGACTGGAGCTTGGCATTCCCGACAGGTACTGTTTCTGCCAGAGGTGGGTTAGCTGCGAATGGGTGGAGTTGCTCATTTTCTCAGCCTGGGCTCAAGCCAAGGGAAAGGAACTTGATGATCCAGTGATGAATCCAACTTGAGACATTTGCAGATATTTGGGGAGTACAGAGCTATTCTAAATCCAGGGGATTGTTGCACAGTTTATTAATTGTAAATAATATCCATGAGGCAAAGAAGTAGGATGTACTCCTTAGTTTTAAGTGGATCTTTTAAACTTGTGTGAAGTATTTATGCTATTTAAACTTCTTTTATAGGAAGCACACAAAATGGTTAAAGAAGCTAATGTCAAACAAGCTGCAGCAGAAAAGCAGTTGAAAGAAGCACAGGGGAAGGTGAGGGTTTTCGAACTTTCTTGCTTTGTATTTTCATGTAGTTTTGAATCTAAGTGTGAATGGTGAAGACATAAAATGAGCCTTGCGTGTATGTATTTTTATATACTAAATGCTGTCTAGACTTATTAACTAACACATGGGTTTACAACAGGCAGCATTCTCATGTAGCTAGCCAGGTGCATAGGAAGCCAGTCTTTACTGCAGTGTGCAGTTGCACAGGGCTGTATGCTAGTACTGCTGGAAAATAAAGTCTTGATTTGAATGAAGATAACTGAAATTGCTGAAGGATTTAATGTATTGAAGGAGTTAATATACTGTGGTCTGCTAATGACTTTATATTTTCATTTTCAAGATCGATGTCCTTCAGGCAGAAGTAGCAGCACTGAAGACGCTGGTACTGTCCACTTCACCGACGTCGCCGACCAAAGAGCTTCAGTGTAGTGGAAAAACCCCTTTTAAGAAAGGGCATGCAAGAAATAAGAGCACAAGCAGTGCTATGGGTGGCAGTCATCAGGACCTTACCATGATGCARCCAATTGTAAAAGACTGTAAAGAGGTAACAATGCAAGGAGAGTTTTTTTGTTGTTGATAAGCAAGCTTTATTTTTTTAATCAGAGTAAATCTGTATGCTAAATCGTCATGTAGTAGTGAATACTTTCAGAGATATTTTGTCCTAATGAAGGAAAGATTTTCTTAAGTACCAATAGTTGACAATTTTCTTTACTTTTAAATCTTCAAAATGTGGTCATGCAAACTCACAAAAGAAAATCCTGTCAAATTCGCAAAAGAAAATGAAAGAAAAGGTACATRGAAGATACAGGCATGATTTATCTTATAGGGAATTTCTAAACCACCAATGACTATAAACATGGAGGCTGTAATTGGAGAAATATCCTTGTCCTGCTCTGTAGCTCATGCTTGAGTCATTGCTGGCCATTGTCAGAGAGGGTGGTGGGCTCAGTGAATCTTTAATCTGATTCCCTGTGGCCATTTTTATACCTTGGTTTGACTTCTGTCATTAAACACTTATGATATATGCCTTTAAATGTAGAAAAGGGAAAGATTTTCAAGTCTCTGCTCAAAAGCTTTGCATCCTGCCTATCTACTTYATGGGATATACAAAATGTTTTTCATTTCAATATTGAATCTTAATTGCACTCAAGAAAGACCCATCACTTTGTAAGCATCAGACTRAGGTCATGTCTCTATGGTATCCCCCTCCTGTGTGTGGCAGAAGTGGGAGGGAAGGGGTTTGCCCCAATTTCCTGTGGAGAGAAAGGCCTAAATATGAAGCACCTGCAGCAGCAGGCCCAGTCTGCTTGAATAGGTATTTCTTTAGTTCAATCTCCTTTATTTGCCACATGAGGAAACCCTCTGAGATTGATCCAGTCTGCTTAAGATAGGTGACTGTCTCTTCTAGCGACAGGCTAAGGAATCAGTAARAAATATCTGGATTTTCAAACCACAGGGAGTCAAGTCTTCTGARTGAGAATGCCTGATGGAGCGCACTGTGGGGCAGAAAAGGCCAGACTGCTGCTGGCCTAGGGCTTAGGACTTAGGCGGGGGGACTAGTTCCCTACTGCTTTGTTTTATCTAGTACTGTGTGATTTTGTCTCTTCCCTGTCCTCAGATAATGCTTAATGTAAATGCTTATGTGTTTTTTGGGAGCTGGGTCTGGAACTCCACCTCTTGTCTCATTTTTATTTGCCAAACATTCCCACCACTTGGTTAGTTCCCCCCTCCTGTGCCATTTTCCTGGTGCTCAGAGTGAGCTGCAGAAGGAATGCTCTTGCCCAGGGCAAGCAGTGGCCTCGTCTTGGGATGCGGGAAGGGGGGCTGTGACACCCTCATGGAGAGTCCAGAACCCAGAGTTTTCCCTTCCCAGGCTTGGGATGAAGCCCTGTCCCTGTTCACATTTTTTTGTGGAACAGAGGCAGTGTCCAGGTGACTGCCTACCCTAAATTGCAGGAGTGGCAGAAAGTGACAAATTCTCAGGAAAATGGTACTGAGCGTGGATATGCTCAAGGATAAGTAGATGGATTAACAGGATTTAAGAAAGCTAAATAGCTGTGTACAGGCAGGTCATGTTAGTGTAAATGCTGCTAATTACATCTTTTTTTTCCCTTAAGAACTGAAATGTTTTTATTCTGATACTGTATTTTAATTGCTTACTGTAAAATTAAAACATTAATTTCAGCCAGAATTCTGATGACGATTGGCTGTGTATTTAATTGTAAGTAATCAAAACTTTGATCTAGTGGAAGTGCAAGCAAAGGCAGGGAGGAGATGCACATACAGTGCACACAAAGTGTAGGTGAGAGAGGAAAAGCATTAAGTTATGTTCACAGAGACATTTTTTCTGAGGCAGCTTCATTGTATATCATGGGCTTGGGGGAAATGAGTTAAATGCATCTTAATGCTTAGACTTTTATAGAACAAACTAAAAATGGCTTCTTTTCCCTTGCCAATATCTCTTGATGGTGTTCAGTTTAAAGACAGACCCGAGAAGGGCTTTTAGGTAGGGAAATATTCCCGTAGGGAGTAAGTTACACCCATTGAGTTTCATTTATATGAGTCTGGTGACTTAGCAACCAGAGTATTTATGGATTCAGTTAATTAAGATTTTTTTTTTCTGATTATACCTGAGTGGAAGGCAAATGGGTCTAATAGTAAACAAATTTACCAATCTAATTTGTATAGTTTTTTTCAGCTCATTCCTCCTTCTCAAAACAAACTCCTCAAAATACATAYGTAAAAGAAAATGATGAAGTGCTGACAGCTTAGAGAAAGGGAAGTGAATAGGGAAGAGCAGAAGRTGGAAGGAGGTTGTTTCAAGGAGTATACTAATCTTTTTAATCGGATTACCCCAGCATGAATTATTTTTGCTTTCAGTGTCTCATTTACACTACTTTAATGTTGCAAGACATTAAAATCACACTTCGTTTCTAAGATGTATTTTGTAAAACCAGCATTARTATTTATTGGTACCTTTATTAAAAAAAACCCCTTTCTTCCAAAATACCTTTAATGTTCACTCCTTCGTTTTTCCTCTTGGTTTTTCTCTCTCCATTCTCTGTGGAGTGGAGAGGCAACCTGGGGGAGGAGTCTGTGAAGGCAGTAGCATGAGGATCTACTCCTGTCATAATAACCTGTTTGTATTTTCTCTGTTACTATCTGCCACCATTTCTATGGACATTTCTGTTTTCTCCCTGTCCTTCCATTTTCTGCCTTTGCTGTATCTCGTTGTTGTTGTTTTTTATTCCTCTGTCTCTATTGGCCTCCTACTAGTATCCATTCATATAACTTTACCTCCYTCCAACACGGTCACCTACATTTGCATTTCCTTTATGCCAGCAGACTCCCGTAGCAGCTCAGAGGGAGCAGAGACACGGATCTGGGCTTTGGAGAGTGTAGTCCTGCTGAGCTGCAAGAGAGGGTTTTAACGGGCAGGTAGAGGGGAGAGGCCCTGAAGGTGCATGTCAGCAGTCTCAAAGCCACTCTGAGTGGCCAGAGCAGAGCCAGAGTGTTTCAGTTCGGCCTGGGAGGTGCTGTGGAAGCAGCCTGCCTCACTAGGCTTGGCTTATGCTTTGGAGCAGCCTTGGCACTTAATGAATAGGATGCTTGTCAGGAGGAATGAAACCTGATGCTGGGCTCTGCGTGTGCCCGGTGGGTACCCAGGCATTAATGGGCATTCCCCCTGTGGGTTGGCTGCTTCCTAGTGGAACCATTGACTTTAATAGCAGTGATCTAGGACCTTTCTCAGTACCAGGCTTGGTAGGTGCCCTCCCACCACAGAGATAACAAAACTAAGTGGATAACGGRACACTTAGCTTTCTTTTCCCAATTTGGATAACTGCTGCTTTGATTTCCATTTTTGTTTAGTATGTGCCTGTAGACTGTAGGAACTCTGAGGAAGTCAGCTCGCAAACAAGGAGCCCAGTATGGAGCCAAGTGAATGTCCTGTCCTTCCTATTGCAGCATAGTGTAGAAGGGAGTTTGGATTTGGAGATGTAAAAGGGAGCATAAGAGTAAAGTTTGAAGTGATTTAAGTGATTTGTGTATTGAATTACAGATTTCCTTTGTTAGTACATTTATTGTTAAATATGTATTCTCTTTTTGCATTTGGATAACAATGTATTCAAATACTGTGATACTATAAAAATGTTTAGAATTGCACTTTTTTTTTGCTTTAGTTTTCCTTGATCTTCTGTAATTCACAAAAACAGAGAAACTAAAGCTGTAATGAAGATGTGCGGAGAAGTAAATTACTGGCTTTTGTCTGTTAAACAATAGCTTTACGTTTCAAGCTATTCTGGAAGCTTAGGAAATGAGGGAGAAGCAGTTAGCTTGTCGTTAGTGTCATGGTGACCAATGAAAGCACTAATTCTGTCTTGAAAATGCTGTTTTGAATTGCTCAAATTCAGGAGAGTGGGTTTAAGAAGGTGTCTTAGCAGCTGGGGTGGCAATAGCATTCTTTCACAGTGCAATGTAAAGCACATAGTTTTAATGTTTATTAGTTGTATGTGGATGTTTATACCTTTTCATCACCTGTGTGATAGCCACAGTACTAAAATACGTAAATCTTTTGTGTGTTGTAGGCTGACCTATCTTTGTATAATGAATTCAGATCTTGGAAGGATGAGCCTACTATGGACAGAACGTGCCCTTTCTTGGACAAAATCTATCGGGAAGATATTTTTCCATGTTTAACTTTCTCAAAAAGTGAGGTAATGTAGTCTAAACGCCATCACTGACATTTTTCCTTTGATTATCTTGTAAAAAGCCAACAATAAACTGCAGTAAAAATACTTCCAYTTGGAACTTTTTTTTATTTCATTACAGTTGAAACAGTTTACAGTGAAGTAGTGTAGCATGGAGGTAATCTGTTTTCCTTGCTCTCTGCTATTCTAGATAGAATCTTTTCAGGGACAGGTCATGTTACTCCTTCAGACTTTACTAGTTGAATCTACTCCTTGTAGGATGACACTTCAGATATACATTTTTGTAGAAATACTGTCCTGTTGCAGTCTCTGCTTTATATAGAGGGCAGTGGAGACCACAATATATTTGATTTTGTGGACATATTTTCTCCCTATCAATTATAGCAGCTGCAAGAACTCAACTTTAGGATTTAATGTTTAGGAGGGACAGTATGGGAATATAGTCTTAGATGAAAGCAGTGAAGTGACTCTTTTTCTTTTGCTTGTGATCTCACTGCCCCRTTTAAATACAGATGGAAGTCTGGGAATAAGGTGGAATTCATGCTAATTCATTATGGTTGGCATGGAGCATCATATGAAGCTCTTGCACCAGCAGGTTTATGCATCCTGTTTTTATCCCAGCAACTTCATTTGCTGGTTTCCATTTCAGTGGTGATACAATTACTGCAGWTTTGCATTACCTCCTGAGGAAAGAGTGAGGCTACTAACATTTGTCCTTTATTATCGAGTATTGTTTCCACGTATTGTGTACGGAGTGACTAACTCCTGTTTTCCTTTGAATATCAACTAATCTACAGCTAAATTAAATGATAAATTGCATGTGTTACGCTCTTGAAGAATTGGAAGTGCATTTATCTGACTAGCTGGTGCATTGCTTTCACTCATATGTGTGTATGTACTGTTTTCATCTGGTTTTGAAAGGTGGCAGAGGAAAACTATTTGAACTACCTTAATACTAACCTTGTTTTTAAAGTATGTAGGGTAGACTATTTGACCATACTTAAACAATAAACATAAACCTTCACATCTATTGAGGCCTGACAAACAATTAGCAGGTTTCTAATGTCCAAAGGCATGAATTTATCAAGAGTTAACATCACAAGCCATTGAGGAAAGTTGCCCGCTTTCTCTGGAAGGTGACATTTTTGCTAGGCTGCTGCTTAGAAGTTGCAATTATTTGTTCTGTGTTTTTTTCTCCTTATTGCTTAGTTTTATGTCTTTGAATGCACTTCATTCAAAGTGTATTCATTGTATTTCAAAAACTATGGCATGATTTTCTTTGTGCAAGATAAAGAAGGCATATTGCATCTTTTTTATTTTTTGGTGTAAGACAATAAAATTAGAGCATTTTTTAAATAAAKCTTTGTGCCATGTCCACAAAATTTTTTGTGCCATGGCGTGACAAAACCACTGCTAGTTGTTTGGGCTTATGAGGAGTAAATTTATTGTACAGGTTACAGATAAAATATATTTGACTAAATACTCTACTGTAAAGACAGTTGCCTTGTCTCACAGAAGGTGGTTATTTGAAAGGTAGAATTTAAACTGAARTCTTGGAATGGGGCCTTTTAGACTTTGCCTGCACCAATATATAAGGCACATCTGATGTGTCTGAGTGGAGCTTTTCAGTATTTCAAGCTTTACAGAGGCAGAGACATGTCACTAGTTTGAGAACACTGCTAATGCTAGGCTGTTCTGACTGCTTTCTACCTTCTTTTGCAGCTGGCCTCAGCTGTCCTGGAGGCTGTTGAAAACAACACTCTGAGCATCGAACCCGTGGGCTTGCAGCCTGTTCGGTTTGTGAAAGCTTCTGCAGTTGAATGCGGGGGACCAAAGTATGTCGAGCTACTAGACAAAAGGGAAATTTTAACCCATTTGAGAGAACTCTTGGATTGAGGGAACTGCTGTCAACTTGTCACCTCATTCGAATGTGTATATCTTAAACTTGTAAATATTTCCTAAAATCAGAGGTGTCAAGATTGCTGTTGTAAGCTTTTTTGGGGGGAAGTAAGCAAGAAATCAACCCCCCCATTCCTTCTCTCCCTTCCCTCCACTCCCAATAAATAAATAAAAGGTTAAATGACAAGAGGGGAGGTTATGAAGCTGTGCTGGTCCTAATGGATTCTAAGACAAGACTCAGTGTGAAGAGAGCTGTGGAGGCTTTGATGTTRGGCGAGAGGAACTTGGTGAGGCAGGAGTCCTTTGCTGGATGTGGAAGAGAAGGGAGGGATTTGTAGTGCATGTCTTAGGGTAAATAACCAAAGCCAGTGTCAATCTGGAGCCTTTCAAATCTTGAAACAGTCTTTTTGATTGGAAGTCTTTTTGGACAAATTGACATGTTTTGGCCAAACTCAATTTTCTGATAGACAATATCTGTTAAGATGTTATTTGGTTCTTCTTGGCATGAGAAGAATGTTTTCTTCTTCTTCCTGTCTGTTCCCATACTCCTCCTTTTTGAGTTCTCATTGTTTTTGAGGAGAAAATGTTTAACATGCTTCAAAGAAAGTGTTGTTCTTCCTTTTAAAGAAACTGCTTGAAATGAAAATAGTTTTATCACTTAGTCTTTGCTCATTTGTAGCCTCCAAAATTCAGTGATTCATATAAGCTTCAGGTTACTCCTGTCACCAGCAGGTGCTCTGAGTGACACCACAACTAGTGGAGCTCCTCAAGGGCTGCTGGTTTCGGTACCAGGACCCATCCCTGTGACCTGCACTCCACGAGTGCTGTGCTGAATAGACGGACAACCAGCAGCTGCTAAATAAACCATGAAAGAGCAATTGGCAAATTGACCTGAAATCACCACGTTTGAAGCAACAGCTCCACATCTTATCTTGATGAAGTACTCAAACCATAGTACTCATTTGCATCCTTCAAAAGTTTCATGAGAGTTTTTAACCTGTTTTGTCCTACCTAAGATAATTTCTTAATTAAAACTTACATAGTCCTTAAACAATTGGCTGGCTATGGATTAGCTTGAGAGGTGTCTTCCTGTGAACTAGGCTTTACTTACTTCAAAGCGTATCAGAAAAGTAAGTTTACTTCTTCCTTTTGTCAGCTGTCATTTAGTGACAAAGTTTTGGTCTATTGCTTGAGGATAAGTAATAGGTAAAGAATGTTTAGTATTTTGGTGTAATTTGACAGCAGTTGTGCTTTGCTTCAAATAACATTACTGACACTGGGAAACAGGTGTTCCTGTTTTCACTGAATCAGAATGACAGTTTCACATCTCTGACTTTCATTGAAAATTATATTTCTCTTAATTGAAAAAACTGTTCTTTAATAGCAGTATAGTATAGAAAACCCCATAAACYAACTAGAATAATGTTCTTAATGGAATTGCTTTCTTGTACAGTTGCCTGGGTGTAGGGGGAGCAGATGTGTAACATAGTGTGAGGGCCCAACAGCAAAACAAGGCAGTGGGAAGTTGATAGCAGCAGAGAAAGGTTCCTGTGTGCAGACGTGCAGGCACCAAGCATGGGTTTGTGTGCTGGTGGGTGCTTTTAAGTGCTGCCCTTGAGTGAGGCAGCTGGGCCTCCCCTCAGCGCTGCAGGAACTGTCCCCACGGGCAGCAAAGCACTAAGTTGCCTGTGCTCTGCGCAGAGCTGAGGCATTAGCAGCACGTGTCTTGCCAGCATTTAACCTGGTGCCTTGGAAGATAAAATATGGGAGGGGATTCTGTAGCTAGGAGGAAGCACGGGCTTTATTTTCTTGGCATTGAAAGCCTGTCTGTCTTGCAAAGGCTTCACTGAAAGGGAGATCAGCTTGTGTCAGCTAGCACAAGGTTTCTGGGATCAATGTGCTGCTGCCAGTCCTCAGAAATGCCATGGAGAGGCAGCCACCTGCGCTCTGCTGCTTCACTGTGTTTTACGTGGTTCTCTGSACCAGCTGCTGACTGCTTGAGGGTCTCTGGGCCACCACTTAGAACCACAGAAACTCAGTTATTTTTGTTTCACGTTTGGAAAGCTGCTTGTTCTTTGACCCTCTAATTTTATGTGAGGTAGCAATGGAAGGGAGAAGAGGCAGCAGCTTTTAGAATAAATTATCCAGTGGGTACCATAGCAACCTAGTTCATCGGAGATGTGGGAATGTAGAAATTCCAAATAAATCAGATTCCTGGAGAGAATGTATTAAAATTTAGTGTGCCCTTTCTCAGATTGGGTTTTGGAAGAATTTCCCGTTACTGGGGACCTTTCCTTATTTGTGAATGTGATACTTGCAGTAAGCCAAAACGAGCAAATTGGGTTATTTTACCATCACTTTTTATAATGCCAATGGAAGGAATTATTGCTGGGCCGTCTGTTTTTCTTTGCCTGAAATTCTTTCACACTCTGAATGTAAAATGCAGTTTAAATTTGGACAGAAATGTGAAGCTGGCCTCAGAATGCATCTTGCACAGCCTTTGGAAAATTAACTGTGATTCTAGAAGGCTGATGTTTTTATAATGAAATCTAACATCAAGCAGAAATCTTCTGTTTAAATCGGCATCAACTGATACTGCAAACTTTATTTCATGGATGAAGAGCTGGAGAAATCCCTTTGTTTCAAAGTTGTTGAGCTACCTTGAACCAGTGAATATGGGAGTATATGATCACGACTGAGTAAATATGCAGGAGCTAAGGAGAGATTTAAAAGTGAAAATATTTCATGATGCGCCAATGCTAAACCAAAATGAATCCTTGTGGAACTTGAATAGCTCGCAGCCAAGTGTAACAGTAATTTATAAAAAGAAGTCATAGACTCAGGTACCTATCCCAATATAAAGTAATTATTAGCACCTTAGACATGTGCAGGTATTTAGGCATTAATGTCAGATGTGTTTACTGAATTATACAATTCTTATTTTGTAGGAAATGTGCTCTCAGTGGACAAAGCAAGTCATGCAAGCATAGAATCAAATTAGGAGATTCGAGCAATTATTACTACATTTCTCCTTTCTGTCGTTACAGGGTAAGTAGGTCTATTCTTATTTCCATTTGAATAATAGTTATTTTTCCATACAGTTTTATAGCGTATGAGCTAAATCACTGTTTTTTTTATATTGATTCAGATCACGTCTGTGTGCAACTTCTTTACATATATTCGATATATCCAGCAAGGACTTCTGAAGCAGCAAGATGGTAAGTAGTAAAAATATTGCAGATATAAGCGCCAATTTAAATGGAGCCTTTTGTCTAAATCTTACATCCGTGCACAACCACACCGACCTGACATCCTAAATAAGTCATATGTTTGTATCATTGTAATTAGTAGGATCTAGTGATATCCCTCTGCTTCTATCAAGCTTTTAATAGCAAAGAAAAGATTCTAATCCACGTGTTACAACTCCAGTACTGTTCAGTAAGAAGTTTGATTTATGAAAAATTCTGTGATTGGAGGAGCTAGTAATAATACCTTAAGTTCTGTGTGGAAAATTAAGGTTCTTTCACAGAAAATGGAGATGCTTTAGGTTCAGTCTTCTCCTGCCCTTTTCTCACAGTAGTTCGTTTTAACCTTTGAGTTCCATTGTTTTATTTTGTTAATGCCTGATTCTGACTTCCAGGATTTTGGTTCTAATTGAATGTAATTTCATTTGAAAGTGTTGGGTTGTCTAGACAGACCAAGAAACTCCAGCTTGATTTGACCTGGGTGATCTATTTATTTATTTTCTTCRGATTTTAAGCAGCTAGCTAAGTGCAAATGGGAAAAAAACATTGTGTAAGCTTTTAAATTTGCAGAAAATGAGAACGATTGACAACAAAATAGAAAATTGAGAAACTGCAAATAATTTTCTTTTTTAAATTAGAGAACAAAAATCCAAATTGTTTTTTATAGGACCATCTTTGGAATATTATCAAAATATTTATTTTGAAAAACTTTGTTAAAGCCAACCAAAAATAATAGCTGTCATACATTGATTGTTGTTTTACAGATGTTAACATCAATTCTGAAGTTTCTMTAAACTTCAGGATGTGCTGCACAATGAGGCAGTTTGTATATCTCAGTTGAAATGAAATACTYGCTACTTCATTATGTTAATGACATTTCTACCTCTTTTGTCGTTTTAGTGGATCAGATGTTCTGGGAAGTTATGCAGCTGAGAAGAGAAATGTCCCTGGCAAAACTTGGCTACTACAAGGATGAGCTCTAGATCTTTTTACTCTGCACATGCATGAACTTCATTTAATATACATAACTCTGAAATGGCTGATTCCTTTTTGTCACTTGATATTTATTTCCACAAAGTGGGTCCAAGATTTTTCTCCTTTTGCAGATTGCACTAAGAAGTACTGTGATTGTTTTAAACTGACTAATGCTGTACATGCTTACATATGATAGATGAACAAATGTGGTAAGCACTTGCAGGTGTACTAGTGATTGTAATTTACAGTTGAAAACAAAACATCTGATTAAATGTTAGTCTGAAGTGGTCTCTGTCTTGTCTTCTTAGTAGTTTGTGATGCAGAGTGATGTGAACCTCTCTTAGAGAGGGTAGTCAAACTGTAAAACAGTAAGAAGATTATATGAAGAGTGAATGAATGCCTGCAATTTTTTCCACACTGAAGTGTTTAAATACATGTGTCACAGTTAATGGACAAATAATTAGGAGGACCTGGAATCTTTTAGAAGTGTTGATTTTCTATATTTTTAACTTTTAAATTAATGTCAGAGGAAAAGCACTTTATGATGAGTTAACAGCATAATACATCTGGATGGATGTCCTCGCAGTAAACTAGGGTGCTTTTTAAAGATGTCAAGGTAGAATAAAATCGCATTTTCATTCTTTAGCCCTYGCTTAGACAAAGTTTAGAAATCTGTCCTGACCTCTTTCAGTTTGCTGAAAACATTCTCTTCCCCTTTAACTTTTTTCATTAGTTTTCATTTGTTGTTGTTCTACCAGAAAAAGAAGAAAGAGGGAGGCAGAAGAAATATTCATTTTTAAATGAATTTAAGAATTTAAGAATGAATTAAGAATTTAAATGAATTTAAGTTCTTTTAAGAACATCTAAGTTGCAATATCATATACATCAACTTCCCATTGCTGTTCTCTCACTTTTAAAGTATTCTTTACATGAAATTCTTTAACACACTGACTGTAATTCTCTTGTAATGTTGCTTTTTTCCTCATGCATGCCACTGGCTACAAAAGGGAACCTGGAACCTGAAAAAGTATTATGTCGTTTTAGGAAGAATGTTCTTTCTGGTCAAGTACCAGCTGATTAGGATACATGGAGCATGGATGTGGTAAACTGCTGCAAAAGCCCTTTGGAAAAATTACTAGTTTCTTTTCGATCATGACAGCCTTTCTCAAATAYAGATATCTTTAAAGCATTAACAGGTAACCTCGCAAACATCAACAATAAAGGCAAGTTCTTACATAGCTATTTCTTCAACAAAAAGCATCTTTGTGGTTACGGTTGTTTTTAAGTAAGGAATTCTAGACAAAAATAACATTCTGTCACTACATCCTTCCCCAAAGTTTTCCATTTTTATAAAAGTAAATACAGTGAGCTGCAACATTTATACCCTACATGTGTTGCTTGCATGCAGCCACTGAAATCACCTTGTGAGAGTTGGCTTTAGCCAGTCATTTCAAGGAGAAAATAAGAAGAAATAGTTGAACCTTCATATTTATTAGTAATGGAATATGTGCAGTGTGGGCAGACTGCTTCACTAATAATGCAACATCCTTCTATCACTGGCTGCTAATTCTTGCTTTTGAGAGCTGGAGAAATTTGGACTTCTATCGCTGGAAGTTTATTTAATTTCACCTAAGGCAAAGGTCTGGTTTTAATGTTGGAAAACATTGTATTTGTTCCTATTATGTTTTCTACTAAGTTCATTAGTGTTTCCTAAATGCCCTAAATAAATCCTTATTACTCCTTAGTGTACATATTGAAACCAACCCCTTTTCAGGATTAGATAACAGTAGTTAAATGACACCTGCTAGCTGCTGCTGCCCTGAATAATCCTTCACGGGAGATGCTCATTTGAGCAGGACAAGTTCCTGCTCTTGTTAGAAATAGTAGTGCCAAGACTTAAAAGGCATCCCAAAGTTTATTGTGCAGAAACTGTTTCCTTATAGCTAGGTCCTGCAGAGATGTGCCAGTGTATCTTGAGTGGTAATGGCTGCTTGACTCAACTATTTCATTCTTCCCTGTATATTTAATATAATTTTTTTTTACCATGAGAAATCTGTCACTATAGGTAGTCACATCATCACAGTTACACAGTAGTTACTTGTCTCATTAATATAACTAGGAAACTGTCACCTTCTAGATTTTTTGTCTATACTAGAACTTTTGTTCATAACCCAGCACCTCTTAAAGCCAAAAAAAAAAAAAAATATTTTTTTTTTCCTTTTTTTTTCTCATTTTGGTTGAGGGGAGACAGAAGAGGAGCAGCCTGGGCTGTACACAGATGGGCCAAGAGAATGTGAATTAGTGTTTGTGCCTGGCCTTAAAAGATCTTGGTTCAATTTCCAGCTTTCCTGTACATTTTCCCATGTTACCTCAGACAAGCAGTTAATTGGAACTTCAGTTCTGTTACAGTAATTGCCTCAAAGTTCTACTCTGATAATTAAAAGAAACTGTAAGTTTTTTTTATCCACTCTATTTGTTCTAAGCCTTTGTGTGGGGTGGTAATTGAAGCCATTTAAGTGGAATTGGGCATATGCTGAAGCCATTRGTGGCTTTTACTTTCTTTTGCGTTGGTGGCTTTACATTTTTGTTCAGTTCTATGAGTAGTATTAATTGTATCATCCGAATGAAAGGAAAAAGACAGGGTAAACTTTATAGCTGCATGAGTAATCGTGGGCAGCGCTGGGATCAAAGGTCTTTAAAACAAGGAACGTTGCATGTGCAGGCCCGAGGCAAACGCATCTCCCGCGTCCTGCCTCGGGGCTTCTTGGATTCCTGACACGTAGCAGGGTTGAGATGTCACTGTGACATTAGGGACAAAAAATGAAATTAGCTGGGAGAGAGGGGGTTTGGACCTTCCGCAACAAGTCCATGTGGATTCCTTAATATATAACTAATCTCGACAAGACGGGGCCATTTTTTTGAGTGGAGCTCTTGGAAAAGCCGTGGCAAAGCCAAGCGCCTCTGCCTCGCCATGGATGTGGTGGGGGAAAACGAGGCCTTGCAGCAGTTCTTTGAAGGTAAGCGTCCCGTTTTAGAGTCGGTTTTAGCCGTTTCTGGTAGCATCTCAAGTACAGTGGTCAATGCTGGGGATTCATTAAGAAAGGAGAATTCAAAGAAAACAAAAGCAATTTTGCACAAAACTCTCACAAAATCAGGTACGAGAATTAGATAAGTCGAGTCTGTGCAATGTGTTTCTCTTTATACTTGGGAGAGAAAAGGTGGGTTCCAGAGAACTTGAGGTACTGTGGCAATGATTACCAAGAGGGAAAAAGTGGGAAGTAGCTGAGGTCTCCTCGCAGTTCATCCCTTGTGCAATCCTAGTGATTTTCATGAGATTAGGCAGCCCTCTCCCTGCTCTGTCCCGCAAGTTAGTTAAATTAGTTAGTATTTCCACTGACACCTTCCTCTGGAATTACTTGCGTGTGGCTCTTACAATCATATTTATGGTAGTGTCCTCTGACTTTTCCAGAAAGCTGAATGCAGAATTTGCTGTTGCATTTTGGCTGGGATCTGTTTTACTTTATTTGCTCAAAGATGTTTCACCCTTGGATAGGTTCTGGTTCGATCTCTCTGCTTTCTCTTGCCACAAAATGCACTTTCCAGTAGATTCCACAATCTGAGTACATTTTTTCACTTCTTATGAGGTCAATCAAAATGATTGTTCCAGAGCATGTGTATTAAACTTTTTTCCTCCTTTATTCCAAGATTGATTTGCAATTTTTTAATACCAGCTTTTCAGTGCCATTTTGTATTTCAGTTCTCATTTTGTATTTGTTCTCCTTCTATTACCTATGAAAATATTCCTTATRTGATACTCATTTCAAAAAAACTAGGAAAACTCTCTTTCCATTTTAGGTAACATGGACATTTTTTGTTTGCCCATATTTATTTTCTGTTGTGCTRCATAAGTTATTTCAGTTCCTTGATGCTTTGTTGACATGGTTAAGAGATGGTGATTAAATGGTTAAATTTCAAGCAGGTAAATTAAAGATTTTCTAGCATTGCTCAAGGAAATGTATTTAAGCCAAGAAATTTAAGTCAGCAGGCCACAATCTAGAGCTGCCAACTTGCAAATATGTTGTCTATAAATCTTTGGAAATACATAATGTGTTATTAAGTTTACATTAACTCACAGAGACCAAAATATAACCAACCAGCAAAATGGTACTTTTATTTATCAGGGTATTTGTTCATGTAGTGTGCAACTAKTAAATACCCCAAATTCTCTGGGACACTATAGAAAAGCTACATAAAAATTTGATCACCAGAAGACTTTTTAGGAATTGACTAGGAAATCAGGACTTTCTTTGGAGCGTGGAATAGATATTATTGACTTTTGTGATGGTTACACTGCAATAGGGGAAGAGATCTCAGAGATATTAGGTGTGTGAGCTCTTTAACTAGAGCTAATAAATGTGGAGTTTAACTCTTTGGGAGGCAACACCTGTCTGTGCAGATGTGTGTGGGGAGAAGTCCTGCCAATTCCACTTAATCTCAGGTGAAACAAAACATTTTGGAAGATGACCCTCCTTCAGTAGTGCTGCTGGTAGAATATGTCCAAGGTCTACTTTTGGGATGGAATATATGGAATATATACTGTTAGATGGCCGAATTTCACTGCTGGGAAATTATATATCAGTGACTTTAGATTATGCCAAGGTTACAAAYAATACCCTTTCACTCAATATGCGCTGGTAGCTGGAAGCCTCTGGTTGCTGTTAAAGCCACAAGCTAATCTAGAAAGGTGACAGGATGGTTTAAAGCAGGACTTGCATCTTTTTGTGCAGAGGTTCAGGGACCGTAACACCAGCTTTAGCTGATCTCCTGTCTCTGCTTAAGCACTCTGGCTTGAGGTTTTGCATTAGAATACCAACCCAAAGGGCAAAATCAGCAAATTGCTAATTCGAATTTGATGACCCATGAAGTTAGTCGCAGGGGTGTTAAAATGTGTTTTCAAAGGCTGCTGACAAGCTGCCTCTTGCAATAAACACTGCCACTGAGGAAACAGCTGTTTAGCCAGTGAYGCAGCTTTGATTTCCAAATGGATCAACTAGCAACCAAGCACATATATAGATCTTGCTTGAAAGGTTATTTTAAATTCATGAGCGAAAAGGATCCCATTTTTCCTGCTGTGCATTTGTCTTGACACTCATTAGTAAGATAAGCTGGGTTTTGCAGTATTGAGAGGTGACAACATTATCTGAAAATGGAGTTCTTTCAATAAAAATGGGATAATGCAGTATTTGTTTTCCTGCCAAATATTACTTTCGATAGTTCCAGTAGGCCTCTTAGATTAGATACAACCCTGACCGCGATTTGACCTTGGCTTTATTCCTGCAAGTACGTGTCCTTTCTGCTGTGCTGTTGGCTATTCTGGAACGTCCTTGTCTTGTCTCTCTTCTTTCCCCAGTAGAGAATTCCTCTTTGCTGCAAGTTTTCTCTGGGATTTCTGTTGCAAATGATTTTATTAGAAAATTGTGGAGTCTTTTTTGTTTTGTTTTTAATTGAATGTGCAACGTCCTATTTGGGCGAAGGGAGAGTCAGAGCTCCTTATTGCTCTAATAAAACTGTTCTTCTGGAGAACGGTCATACTTAAAACATCTATTTTGACATGAAATCACTTCTTCCCTGCTAGAGTGTTAGGTCCTTGTGCCACTGTAAGCTCGTGACATGTCCTTGCTGATTAGTGCTCTGCCAGTGGAAGCTGGTGTCGTCCTCAACTCTTCTCTGTTTATTGCTGCTATGTGTGTGGTGTGGATCAGCCTGTTGGTGCAGCAGCTTCTTTCAGTGACTCTAGGTCTCTTCCAGGCAGAACAAAATTCCTTAGCTTGAACAATTGGAAGAGCAATAGATAGTTTGAATCCTTTGGCATGGAAAAGCCAGGTGGCTTGAGCCTCCTGGCTGGAAGAAAGGAGATACCCACCAAGCAAGGCACTTATGAAGAAGGAATTACAAGCAGGGAGGTGGGTGCCTGTGGCTGGAAACACTCTCTTTAGCTGATGCCAAGCAGAGGTGTTGCGTGCATCGCCCAACGCAGAGGCTTCCCAGAGCTGTCCGGGCTCGCTGTGCCGTGCGCTGGAGTGTGGACCGGGAGCAGAGATCCCGGCACCGCTGATAGGGGCTGCTGACTCGGCACGTGCGCGGGACGCGGTCCCTGGGCTGCTCCGGTGTCACACGTCCTGCCCGGCTCTGGTGTCCGGGTGCGGAGCTTGGATACGGCCAGGGAACAACAGGGGCGGAAACRAACTCCCAATCAAAGCATCAGCGAGCTCCCGCTGCCCGTACCTGCTTTAAGCATCATTTAAAATAAATTTGTGTGTGATCCAGCAGTTCCTCCTCTGCTGAAATGTACCGGCACAGGGTGGCATGGACTTGGATGGTGCATCCAGAAAGAAAGGAAAAATGAAAGAAAAAAAAGGCAAAATTATGAAGTGTCTTCTGGTGCAATCAAATGTGATTTGGCTCTTCTGTGCACTTGTATTGGGAAGCTCCCTTTAGTAGTGTCCTGTCCTCTCCTGGATATGCTGCTTCCCTCTCCCATTCATTTAACTATTTATGCAAAGTGGGGAGGTTAGGGGGGAACGAGACATACTCTGCAACAGAACTATTCCCTGGGCAGTGAGCTGCCCAAATTGAAGGCCCTTTACTGCTTTGATTCACAGCTGTTCTTCAAAAGATCTTGTTTCTGTTCTTGGTCAAAATAAGAAATTTCTCGTTTCTTAGTAAAGCAAAACATTTTGCCCTCTAGCTTCTTGTTAAGAGCAAAATTGTATAGTTCTACATGAAATTCTGTCYACGACACTGATGAGCAAATGATCCCTGGATGCATCTGAGATCACAACTCAATCTAGGGAATGCTCATTAGTAGTTGAAGTTGTGAATTAAGATGGATATATGAAGGAATTCCTGTGTGAGCTGATGGCCCCTTGAATCACAGACTGTTCAAGGTTGGAAGGGACCTCTTGAGATCATCCAGTCCAACCCCCTACTCCAGCAGGGACACCCAGAGCACGGGGCACAGGGCGGCATCCAGGCGGGTTTGGAAGACCTCCAGAGAAGGAGACTCCACAGGCTCCCTGGGCAGCCTGTGCCAGGGCTCGGGCACCCTCACAGTGAAGGAGTTTCTCCTCACATGGAGATGGAACTGCCTGTGTTTCARYTTACACCCATTGCCCCTTGTCCTGTCACTGGCCACCAATGAGAAGAGCCTGGCCCCTTCCTCCCTACATTCTCCCTTCATAAGGGAGTACATACTTGGTTTATAAGCTTATCCATTTTCTCTGGTGGAGCAGTGGGCCAGAGCCACACATGGATCCAGTAGCTCACTGGAGAGAACAGTAACGTGAACACCTTGTCTTGCTTGCTCTCCCGCTGGCCACACCTGCGTTTATGGACAGCTTGCTGGGAAGGTGGGGAGCCGACTAAGTAGTTTTCTTTCTTTAAGAGAAGTCTGGATGACTTAAAAGTTCTCAGGAATTCTGTAGACTCTGTAATCATAAAATCCATTTATAACCCTCAGTTACCAGGCAACAAAGTCCAAAGTCCTGAACCTTTCTACTGCCTAATAAATTGCAYATTAGTGGGTTGGTTTTGCTGGTGAAATAATACAAAGGCATGAATGTCTATAACATTTCTAGGGCTTTACTTCCGTTTCCTTAATCTCAGCTCAGGATAGTGGGTTTTTACATTGAGTGTTTTAGAGACTCGCTGGCCGTATGAGTGCAGAAAGTGGGTCTGTGTGTGACAGTGTTTGAGCTCTCCCTGAATCACCTGCTTTGATCCTAATGTACAGCAGTGTGAGGTTAACTTTAGAGCTCTTGTTTGTCGGCTCGCAAACCAGAACCCTTCATCCTGCTGTCCTGATAATTAATGAAGCCTCAATGACATATATGAATTACACTGACGTATTCCTCGCGATCCCCTGCACGCCCTTTCTCACCCGGCATTTTCTATTATGGTGACAACGTTTCCAAACACAAGTGTAATCCGTCTGTTACACGAGATGCTCACTTGCACTGGGATATGGCATTCCTTAATCTGAAGTACCGCTGACTCCCTCCAAATTCCACAGTATTTCAGTCTTTTTCACATTTTTAAACACAGGGCAAGATGTACATGGAGCCTTGGAGAACCCTGCGGTAGACACAACTATGCTGGAAGAGTTCATCAGTAGTGACTTCGAGTTTGGAGCCTTGTAAGTATTAAAGCAACCTTGGCAATACCTGTTAAATTATTTTCATTAGTGCCTTGGTAAAATCTGAGTGCAGCAATCAAACTTGAAATCTGCAGGTTGTTTTTTATATGATTCTGGCTCCTGATTGATAAATTCACTTACTTGAAACTGAAAAAGGGGACTTGAAAAATTAATTAGAAATGGTGATTGCAGAGGAAAATATGGTTTTCTTGCAGCTCAGCCAAATGAATGATGATAAAGTCTGGGATAATTTACAACTGTTATGCTAATTATGGCATTAAAGCAAAGCTATTTTAATACAAGTGCTAGTTTAGTGTGTGCATACGAAGTAACTGATGTAAGCGAGACTAATGTCTAATACACTACGCAAGATTAATGTAAATCTTCCAGTTTGGGGGAAAAAGAGCTACTGGTTTCAGCCTCATGCTTCATTCAGAACAGAGAGACTGTCCATTAATCTTTTCTGAGACTAATTTTATGAGTAACAAAGCATACATAATGCAAAGGGCCACGGTCAGAGGTGGAAAATTATGCAACACRGATCTATCAGAGACTTCAAAACCCAAATCACTCATCTCCACAACTGCCAGATGACCTTTGTCAAATGCAAAATATTATTATTAACAAGCTCTCTCTTGCCAAGAGTCAGAGGAAGAGGGGATGTTTAAAAATAATTAAACAGTCCGTAATATTTTTTCATTTCAGTCGCACTCAGGCACTGCATATTTACAATGGGCTAAACAGGATTTTACCCACTCTAAATCATGAATAATGACTTGATTCTATCTCTGCTCACACTCATTCAAAGAAGAATGAAAGCCTTTCTGTACATAGAAATTCATGAACTTTTTTTTATGATATACATATATGTCTGCTATTATATAGTTTAAGACTAGATATATATAGTTGGAGTGCTCTGTAAGTACTTATGTGCAAGAAAAACTGTAAAACTACCACATGTTTGGAGGCTCTTTTTTATTGATAGTGCAGTAATAATTCATTAATTAAGATGAGGAAGACCATTTATTGTATCATTAAATTTCTCTATATATAACATTATAAAGCATTTACCTGCACTGCAGATTATTTGTGTACAAACAGAGCAAAATTCCACAGAAAAAAAAGTGCCAAAATGTGGCAAAGGATGCAAATGTGAAGATACTTCATCTATTTAAAATGCAGATGAACATAATGGCATATGTATTAGTGAATGCAGAATGCAAAGGAAAGGGTGCTGTTACCACCAAGGGTAACTTTACATCTATTCTTGTACCAAACATGAAGCACCCTGTGGTTTCCTATCTTTGCCACCCCAAGGGCTTACTCTTCAGTGATGAAAGGAGAAAAAGGGTTGTATTTCTTTCCAAAGTAGGTATTTAATTATACTCTACATCTGTAATAACAAATCTGTTTAAATATCTTTTTTTTTTCTTTCCAAAAAACAATATCAGTTTCAGGTAAATTTTGACTAGGAGACATAACACTACTACATCTGTGCTTTGTGAATATTTTTTTTTTCTAGAAAAATGCCTCTCATTTTATTAAAACTGTTTAAATATAAAGCAGAAACTGAGTATCCAAGATAGTGTTTGAAACCAAGAAAGTTTAGGAGGGAAACTTAGGAGTTTTAAGGTTTTAATTTTTACAAGGCACATTTGGAATTTAGTAACTGTCAGCTAAATATCCTGAATAAAACATAATCCAAAAGTAACCTTATTTTGTTATTATCCTAATTTGTTAGTAGTTGAAAACAATGACTATAGGAGTAGAAATTATATTGTATAGTATTAAAGAAGACACCATGTTCTGAAGGAAAATAAAGGTTATTGGAATATTATTGTAATATTTCACTAATGTGGAGTGTTTGATTTTTTCATGCTTTCACTGAGTTAGGTATATGGCAATTAAAAAAAGGAAAAGGAAAAACACAGTTACGAAAAAGCACAGGATGTTTTAAAGTAATAGGCTGTGACAAAAATTAGTTTCTGTTCTCTCTCATGCCATTCAAACTTAGAAATATAAAGCTGAAAAGTAGAAACAGCAGCAAGCAAATTATATCCTGGAAATTTTCCTTTGATGTTTCAAAGTATTTGTTGTACATGTGGGAAAACTTGTGTTTGCATAACTTGAGGGGGTCCCTTTTAGCAACGTTGTTATAGTCAACTTCTGCCAGAACACTCAGTCTGTATGAAGGAGGTTGTGCCTCACAAAATTTCCTCTCTTTTAATGTTTTTAGCCCAACAGATCTTGAGCACTGGTCTTTCAGGTAGTCCTTCAAATTGAGGGTTGAGACTACATCTCATAGGAATGACTGGGAGGGTTAAGAGCCCATTTCTGAACTCCTATCTATTCCAAATGTAAGGAACTCCCTGTAGTTCCTTTAAATGGCATAGGAATTTTTCTCCCTTCAGCTGCAAGCATCACTCTTGAAATAAAGAAGCTGTGAGTGACCAATGTCCTCATATGCAGTATGAAAACTCTGAAGTCGGTTACTGGTGACTTGAACTCTTTCCACTTCCATAGAGGAGGAATCAAGTGGTTTAGCTGGGTAGCCTGGGTTGTCCTGTTTGCTGTGGGCTCCTTGGGAAGGACTTGGCATGGCTGGTATTATGGGGTGCTGCCGGGTCTCTCGGAAGAGAGGTGATCCTTTCCATGCCGTCTGTTAGGAGCAAGAGCACAGGCATAAAATTGGAACAGAAACTCTCAGGGAGAATTTACCATATAAGCAACACATGTGTCAAGGAGTAAATAATGCCCCGAGCTGTTCAGTGCTCAGGCAGGTGAACGGGCTGAGCCATGGGAGACGAGCTGAGCAGGAGAGCAAGGCTCGGAGAGGAGAGCACTCACCTCCTGCCTGAAAGCCAGGGGGAAGTTGCCCTGGATAAACGAACGGGCTGCATTGCCCCTTTGTGCCTAATGCCCCCTTGGCGACCTGTTCTTAATGCAGGTTCTGCAACACTCTGAGCTTGTGCTGGGCAGCAATCCCAGATGTTACCAGCAACCTGTCAGCTGGGGTGTTCGGGGCTGAAAAGAGACTGAATAGCTTGTCTTTGAGGACTCCTAAGGTCGCTCTCCTTGGAAGCYTTGCTTTGAGAAGGCCCTTAGCATGGGCCTGTGAGTCATCTTCAATTTTGATCCGCTTGTTAATTAGGTATGGAAAGTACTAGTTAGTGGCTCTCCAACAGATTCTTCCAAACTGAACAGAGAAATGTAGGTAGGAATGGGAAAAGGGAAAGGAGTTTGCCAACGTACCCTCTGGAAGCCCCATGTTGAACCTCCKGGTGATGTGTCCAGAGGGGACTGAAGAATGGCAGTAGGAAGGAAGGAGGATTAAAGTCAGCAAGTCTTGAGTGGGTGACAGGAGCCAAGAGGGACGGGACCTCCACCACGGGGCAGAGTTGGAGGCCAAAGCAGAGGTCTGTCCCAAGACACATGTTTATTGCCCCTGCAACAAGGCACAGCCACCGCGGTGAGCAGCGCAGCTTCCCAGGAGCTGTGTCCAGCAGCTCGGTGCCCCTTCCCAGGTGCTTTTTGCCCCACTGGAGCATCTCTCCGCATCTCCTACCGGCAGAAACCAGCCTCTCGTTCTTCTCCCCAGGCAGGGCCAGCTGCCGGACTCCCCGCCGGACTCGGGCTCGGAGCCGTGCTCGCCGCCGCAGCTCAAGAGTAGGTGGCGGGCGGTCCGCGGCCCGCGGGCAGCCCCTCTCCTCCCCGTGTAACCTCCCTGCCTCCTTGCAGCCCCGCGGTGCGACGCGCCGTGGCCCTCGCCGCCGCAGCTGCCGCCCGCGTTCCCCTCCGCTGGGACACCCGCCGTGGCGGCCTGCAAGTTCCCGGAGACCTTCCCGGAGGCCGGAGCCAGCGGGCAGCCYGGCGGCGGCCTCCCCCAGGGCTGCTGCCTGAAGATGGAGGCCGCGGCGGCGCCTTGGAATAGCTCCGTGTCCGGCGGCAGCCTGAGTTGCAGTTACTCCTATTTTCAGCCAAACGTGCCTCAGGCTTCTGGGTAAACGATGAAATGTTCATAGGGGAGATGAATCGGATAAGAGAACCTGGGAAAAGGCTAGTGTGAAATCCCTGTGGGTGCAGGATTTTCCACAGGATGGCAGCGTTTAGACATATTTGGGGCACTTGTGTTAGCGAGTCCTCTAATCGTCTTGATTCAAATTGAGCTTAAACTGAGTTGGAATAGGTTTAAGTGTAGAAAAGTGTAGAAAAGTGTAGAAAAGGTTGCAAGTCTAAAGAGGGACCAGCTATGTAACTGAGTTACAAAAAAAGTTGTTTAGGAGTTTTGCAACACCTATTGCACGATTTTGTCCATCAAGGTCCTCTAAGTATTTCAACATGAGGGGAAAAAAAAAAAGAACTTGCCTTATCCATGTAACAAGTGAAATGATATTCATATACCATCTACTGTATTTACTCATGTGCATGCTCTGGATGCATAATTATTAAAAAMCAGTATTACTAGGAAATGCAAGTGTCCAACCCTGATACCTAATAAGAATGTTTTGATTAATCCAGGCCACAGGGGAGTCTCTCTGGTTGTTGGGAGAGATGGTAAGTCTTTGTCTTGGGTCTGCAGGTCTCTTCTTTCTGTATAGAGCTTAACTATGTGATGTGGGTTTTATGCAAGCCCTGGTTTTCTAAGTGAAGCCATCTAGGTTTTCTTTTCTTGTTTTTTTTTTTCCAGAAGAAAGTGTCAGTCAGAAATGAATAACTTCTTGATACTTCAGTTTGGGGAAGTGGTGATAGGAAATATTTCTTGGCTTAATGTGAAATTTTCGAGCAAATCCAGGGAAAGGTTAAGGACTGATGCGCTGGGCAGGCTGTTCCTTTGCATGTAAAAAAAAAATCCCTCCTAGTCTGAGTACAGCCTGGGCCTGACTGACCTGGGTTTTGGGTTGCAGCTTTTCCACATTAAGACAGGATCACCAGATGTGAGGATCTTCTAGGTTACGTTTTATAGTACCAAAACTTTGGAATTAAGGTATTTTTCCTTTGGAGAAAAGAGCAGTTTTTGAAATAGGAGATTCTGAGAAAGGGGAGAGCCATTTCCTACTATTGTCCCTAGAGATCTCATCAGCGCGTCAGGTTTAACTCCTAAACACCTTTCTTCATTCCTCCTAATGGTTTCTTTAGTTAGAAGGAAAGAGAGCTCACCCTCAATAATTTTACTCAGTGGAGTAAAATTATTCAAAATAAAGCTGTCATTTTAATGCAAATGTCAAAAAATAATAAATCCCTATCTGATATTGTGTGATTTTTTTTTCTTTTAAGAGAGTATATGAAGCAAAAAAWTTTCTTGGAAGGAAATAGTCCATATGTCTGTTTAAAAGACATCCTCCAAAAATCAGAATTTGAGTGCTAGCACAGTTAGAATGGGATGACTGTGTTTTCTCTTGTAATAATTCTGTAATATCCATGTTTAAATTTAAATGAGTAATGCAATGTATTTTTTAAAAGTATTTCTACAGCATCAACAAAAAAAAGGAAATTCTCACAGTTACTGGGAGATGTCACTGATTCTCCAGTATGGAGCAACAACTCCAGGCAAGGTAAGCAAATGAACAGTGGTGTCAAGAGGAAAAATGCTGTCTCGTTCAGTGGGCAAGTAAGCATTTTAAAAACTGACTTCTTTGTGGTTCTGAAAACACAGCGATATCAACACCCTGTGCTCTGCTGGGTGTGGGTCCATTTTTCTTTGCCATGTTTTCAAAAAGAAAAAGGAATTTGGTATGTTTGGAAAAGGGAGGTGGAGTGTTAGAGGTTTGTGCTCCCCAGATACTCTCCAGCCAAAATACTCTGCCCTGCYTCAAACCAGGAGCCTCCTGTGCACAGATTAGGCAGACTACTGACTTACTTAGTAATAAATTGACAGGGCAAAGAAATCCCCTTGGGATAGTTTAATAGGGCATTAATGTGGTGGATGAGCAAACATATTTCAGCTTTCTTGTCTGATTTATCAGCTTTGTATTTTCTCTCTGAATGTCTCCATGTGTGAGCTTGGTAAAAGCTATATATTCCTTCTTACACTCACAAACTGAGTTCATCAAAATGAAAATGTCAAGGCTACACTAATGGCTATATACAAAAAAGCTCACTGGGAATGGGCAGGAATGGATCAACTTCTGTGGTGTGTGTGAATGAACAGTTCACCATGAACAACCTATAACGAGGAATTTTAGTCTTGTCTGCTAATGGAAAATCTGAGTTGCTTGTCATTTCTTCAGTTAAGCATTAAATAAATCTTTCAGTAGGTTCCTTTAATGAGTAGCAAGTGGGTTTATCAGATTATCTTTCCTTTAAAAGTTGATTGTGGCTGATCCTCTAAGTCTGCTGTTGCTGGAAAGGGAAGGCAAGTGGGTCCAGAGCAAACTCTCCTCTATCTATTTACAGTTGTTGCTGTTTTCAGTACCAAAATATGCTTTCTTCCCACAGTTCATTTATCTGTCTCTCTTGTTGCATTCTCTTCTGTCTTCTTGAAATTTATAATGTCTCAAAGAATTWTGATTAAGCCTGTCTATCTCAGAGCACTGTAATAAATTAACTGGTCAACCAGCTGCGGTGATTAATATGTGGCTGTTATGGAAATTTCTCTCTCCTACTCTGGAGTGAAGTACCTTGTTGCAATGAGTTGGAGTAGTGTTTCAGTTAGTCCTCTCGTACAGAGAATAGAAAATATCAGTAATTCTCTTGCTTAGGTAAAGTCTTGTTGCATTGTTGCCGATTTACAATAACRTGCCTACTTTGCCACTGTGCTTCTTTCCCAAAGCAGACTGCCCATTCTTTTGGAGAGAATAAAAATAGGAAGTGCTACTTGTGTAATATTTTGCAWATCAGGAAAGCTAAAAGATATGTCTTCTAGGGCAAGGGAAAATAATAATCTTCTGGAACAGCTGTAAAGGAAAATCTGATTTAAATCAGATCAGATGCCACGTATTTGTCTAATAGGGGTGTGTATGTGTGTGTAAACACAGCTAATAATAGCTAACAACTGGTAATAAGGTAATTATCTAGCATATTAGGTAATAAGGTAATACCTGACTCTTCCCAATCTCTCTCCAGCAACGGTTAAGGACTGTGCTCCTGAAGTGCAAGAATATGACAGTGATGGACAGAACGTGGCTCTGGACAAATGCTGCCAGGCTCTAACGTGGCGACCCTATCAAACTTCTCAGTGGAACAACTTACTTAACTCCAATTACGAAAAACTGTAAGCACTGATGTTTGCACTTGGAAAAAWTGTGGKTTTTTTTGTTYTGTTTTTGTTATTTTTTTGTGGTACTGTTGTTTTGCAGGAATGAATGCTACACTTGGCATCTTTTTTTGTTGCTGTAAATAAGGTTGGAGGAGGTGTAGCAGTCATGGATCTGCAGAAGTATTGAATAACTGGAACTTTAAACACTTGTTGAACAAAATACCTAGTTTTCTGATTCCTCCTCAGAGGAGGAATGCTGAGACTAAGCAACTAATTTGCTGAGACACAAATTAGTTTAACCTTGATTTCCTTTTGATTTTTGCTTCTTTGGTTAAACAAATCAGTGCAAGTACCTGCTGAGCATAAGGCACCTTTCAATGCTACAACTTAAAACATTTTGTTTTAAAGAACATATATGTGTTATCCTGCTACAATTCTTGACAAATCTAGACATTTTATTTTTTTTCAATCTATAAGAGCAAACGAGTTCTGAAAAGATGAGCTCAGAAAAGCCATTCTCAGTGATTGTGTTAATGAGTGATGGAAATTCACTGTTCATATAAGATATATATCTTATCATTTCTGAATTATCAATCAGTGAAATCAGACAACTGGAAGAATTGTTGGAATGGTGAATTCCCTAGTYTTTTGAAGGATCTTTTGACACCTTCCTTGTTTGCTGTGAATYATAAAAACAGAATGCTCTTCTGTGTGTCTCTCTAAGTGACAAATTACTCATTTGAATAGATAGAATAGGATTTCTTTATTTGGGGTAAGATGGATGACTTCATAAAAGAGAGTTTTGTAGTGACCTGGTGAGAGGATCATCTTTACTTGTAGCTTGAGTAAAATGTTATTCACATTATTCAACCTTTCTGCAGAAACCCTTGGTGTACAATAACAGAGGGTGTCTTGCTGGCGTATTACGTGTTGCTGTCTGCAGCCTGAGTTCAGCTCTTATTTATAGCAGTGCCAAAAGGGGTGCTTGAATACACTAAAATGTTTAGTTGTGGTTTTGGGTATACAGAGTTTTTTTTATATCAGATTTGTCCATGAGAATTGAGTGAACTTCCCCCAGCTGTCCAAACACCTCCTGTGAATTATGGTACACTTCCTCTGCATTCTGATTTTTACAYTTCTGAGAGGCTATAAGGAAAATGCTTGTAGAATTGATGATTGTGAAGATGTATTTCCACTCCCATTTTTTACCAGTAAAAATCAGATGTATTTTCAATCCACATAAAAAGTAGGAATCTGTACTTATGGTTGCTATTCTTCCCTCTTGCTTTCATAGACCTGCCATAGTTTATCACATTGCCACAGACAAAGGATTTAATTTTTCAATAACAGATGATGCCTTTGTGTGCCAGAAGAAGAACCACTTCCAGATCACAGTCCATATTGGAATCCCTGGACATCCAAAATATGTCAAAACTCTGCTGGGGTTGAAACCAATAGAAAAGTTTTACTTGAAAGCTTTTGGGATAAAGGCAAGTATTTCTCTTCTCAGTGCCTCTCACTTTTCATTAAGATTATCCATAGAATAAGGTAACTAATTGAATTGAACTCTCTTTCTTCGAGATTTTGACCAAGAACTGACTAAAACCAACTTTTTAAGTTACCAGCTATGTGGAACTCTTTAGCAGACTGCTGTTTTTATGAATAGTTGTGCTGATCTGTGCGTGAAAGATGTCATGTTTGCCTGACTTGTGGTTTCACCAGCTTCCTTCTCACTGGCTGAAATGTTGACCACAGGTGGGCAGTGCAGTGTTACCAGTTGGTCTGTAAATCAAAAGATGATTTGGAAAAAAAAAAAGTCACAAAGAAAAGAAGAATCAAATCTGTTTTATCGAAACAATTCAAAAGTAGAAAACCAACAGAAATGGTTCATTTCTTCTTTCCATGTTTTCATTTTCCTTCTAAGAACTAATTCCTTCCGTTCTAATCAGGATCCATGACCTCACCTATGGAAAAGTACCAAGAAATTTCCTTCCTTCTGAAGGATTTTCTCAGGTTTTTACTTGCTATTGAAATTTAGTGATTACAAGAAAATATACGTAGATATTATGCAAGGCAACTAGCACCAGTTTTACCTAGTGCTTTCTAAAAACGTTAAGGTAGAAGAAATAATTGAATATTACCCTCATGTTACCCTTTTTGAATCAAAGTGCTACTTGATAGCATTGAAGAAATGTCCAGATGCTTATGTTAAAGTAACTTACAGAACTGCTTCGTATAGACTCAATTATATACCTATTATATATATAAGATATCTATATTTATGCCTTGGAAGATAGATTCRGGAAGCTATATTTCTTTTGCAAATTATTGTGTGAATTTTCCTTTGATATTTTGTTTGTTTATTTGCTTTTTTTTCCCCTCTCCAATTTCTGGCCTCAAAATGACTGAAGGTTTTAGAGCAGATGGAAGAAAACACTGATAAGGTGTTGATTCCCAGGTGCAGGCCCACAAGAAATGAAGGTGATCCCCCTATTTCTGACATAATCTGGCATCTAGTTTCTACTGCCAATCCATTTGTATGAAAGTGCAATGTTCTGATCTGTTTTGGAAACTTCTCTTTCTTTGTAGGTGGAAGCCCCAAGTCAAACAATAGCTATTGAGCAGTCTCAGTCGGATCGAAGCAAAAAAACTTTCCATCCTGTTAAGTAAGGATTTTGAACATTTTACTCTGCTTTAATTGAGTGCTAGGCTTGGCTGCAACTTTCTTTCTTTCTTTCTTTCTTTCTTTCTTTCTTTCTTTCTTTCTTTCTTTCTTTCTTTCTTTCTTTCTTTCTTTCTTTCTTTCTTTCGGCAACTCATAGTAGCTTCCAATCTTCCGATCCTTATTCAGATTCCCCTCTAGGTGGGCTCATAGAACCAAATATATACCTGATCTCTGATATTTCAAAATATTTATATTCAGCTAACAGCATTGCTGTATGGCGTTTAGAGCTGGACAGCAGGTGTGGGGTTTTTTTGAGGGTGATGATGGTGTAGTTTTTTTTTTATTTATACCAGATGAAAATACAGTAGGAAGACTGCTAAATTCACCGTGTGAACTGTTTAATGGTAGTGTTTATCAGTCATGATAGTGGTGGCTAGAGCTATGCATTTCACACATAACTCTGTGTTTATATTTTGAGAAACATCAATTTGATAGAAAGTACTTCAAAAAGTAAAATATGTAAATTCAGTGTCATAATAAGCATTATTGCCCATGGAAAGCAACAAATATGTATTATATTGAGTACACATGGTTTATTATGTTCTTACAGACAGCCTTAGAAACACAAGACAGCTCCTGCTAACAATATTTCCCCCCATCTGGTCTCTTGCTTATTTGTTTCCTTGAAATAGTCCCTGGGATGGATAAACACAACTTGAGTGTTTTGGTTGAGAACTGTGAGAGAAAAAGGAAATGTGTTGCATTTGTATAAGCCAAGGTTATTGTATTTTTACTGTGTCTCCTCTGTTGCCTTTTCATTTGTCAATATATTTTTTAATTATGTTAGCGAGCATGAGGAAATCTGAATAGAGCCTAGTAGATCTCCAAGTGAATGATGCTTCTTGTTTCCTTTTTTGTTTTAGAATTGACCTGCCAGAGGACCAGATAATTAAAGTAACACTGGGAAGGTTGCATTTTAGTGAAACAACAGCAAATAATATGCGAAAAAAAGGGAAACCTAATCCTGACCAAAGGTATCTAGTTGGCCTGTGTATGTAAAGGGAGAATGGGAACATCTAGTTTTGAATGGGGCTGATGTCTGAAAAAAGGTCAATATTGTCAATTCCTGTGATTTTTATCACAATTTCTGTGATACTTGGTGTCTACTTAGAGGCCTTTCTGCTTGTATCAAGTGATGCCATGAAAACAGGAAAGGAAATGCCTCATGCTCAGAGCTAAAGATTATTTCAGGAAGCCATAACCAGAATGTTGACTTATGGATTAGGAAATCAGGAAAAAATGCGACAACAAAAAAATTTACCTCTGAGGGGCATCTTCACCTTTAAGTCCTTATTACTTAAGCTCGTCAAAATCGCTGAAATCTATGTTGACTTCTCAGTGACTTTTGGAGGTTGAAAGGGCACATTGCTTGGGAGTGGAGGAAATGTTTTTCTTTTATATTGTAGTTTGTTTTAAAATGGTTCCGAACCTCTTTTTTGTGTGTGTCAATAATAGACACTATATTCAAAACAGTATGTGATGAGGCATTGTTTCAATTATCTTGATTAAATCCATTTAAAACTAGATATTTCATGCTGGTGGTTGGACTGTATGCACTCTCCCAGGACCAATTCTACTTACTGTCTGCACACGTTTCTGAAAGGATCATTGTGAGGGTAGGTAGAAAATTCATTGCTTTCACATGACCAATATTAACTGTTTTGGTATTCACAGGAGACTGTTGGGAGGGTGATACTTGGGCAGTGAAAATAAATATAAATTCAAAAAACTTGAAAAAAAATCTGTTGCATAATGAATTCATCCTTTGTTATCTTCTCGTTATAAGAATTTGACTGTGTTAAAAATAAGGTTATAGAAAGCTTTAAAAAATGAAGAAAAAAAACTCCTCTTGATTTGAATTTCAATACAACAGCCTTCAGTCTGGGGTTGTTTAGAGCTGCAATAAATTATTGAATCTGCCAGGAAATACATGCATGCTTTAATTAGCTGAATCCTTAATTTGAAGAGAGGAGATGAATGGAAAAAATAATTTTAAAAAAGGCAAAAAAGGTCAAGAGGGTGTACTGGAATAAGATKTGTTGCTTGAATTGCTCAGTGCTTGAGATCTCGGCTTGATGGTAATAACGTTACAGAAAAACAGGAGCCTTCCACACTAGTCCTAATGACCTGTAGTTCTAAATGCCCCAATCCACATTTCCCTTTTAGCTCTAAGCATTTGCATAAAGATAGGGTCAGAGTGAGAAGAGACAGAAAGAGTGGCATGGTGAAGTTGTGGCCCTGGGCATAATTTTGGGGCATTTCAGTGCTTTTCTGGCCCTGGACTCTAGTTCCTCCTCCCCTTGGTTTTCCTGAGGTGATGGAGGTCTATGGGTGATGGAGCAGGCCTACAAAGAAAACTTCAGGCCAACAAAMCTGCACCTCCTTTGAGATCATAGGTGCCCAGCAGATGCTTTGAATCTGATGGAAGTGTGGGAAGGAAGGGAAAAGGAGCCCTTCCTGGCTGCCTTCCTGCTCCCTACTTATTAATGTTCTCATTGGGGAGCACAAGACAAGACCCTTCCACAAATGGTTTGCAGTTAACTTGATAATTCCAAATTTAGGTAATGTAGTTGGGTTGGGATGATGGGTTTCTTTTTTTTTTTTTTTTTTTCTCCCTTCTTTTTTTTCCATTTATTTATTTTCAAGGGTTATTTCTAGAAACTTGCAGTCCACATTGCTTACAGTTTAGAGAATGCTCTTTTAGGAGATCAGGACCTGTGAATTCAGTGCACCCCTGATCTGTTCAGCACGGGACTTGGAAAAGTTTGTGCAATAGCATTTAACAAGAAAGAAACCAGTACGGTCAAAGCCTAGGCGAAATGTRTTTAACCTCTGCCTTGTTTTCTGTTTTCTGTTTTCCAGCCCTTAAGAAAAAGCAAGGCTCAGCTAAAATTTGCTGGCAAATCAAGAATGATTACATGGAGCATTTTCAAACCTAAGATTTGGAAAGCTTTGCAGTTTGATGATTTAACTGAATGCTAAAGTATAATAGAATTCAAAGGGACTAGCAATGAAGCCAAGATTGTTTGTGCAGAAACAATTGCTCAGAAATGACTCCAATATGTTTTTTAATGCTGGTGTGTTAGAAAAGCTCATGAATGCAGTTTAAACATGAAAGATTCGGCATTTGGTTTTCATCAACAAAGAGGTTAAAGCATCAGCCACATCTATGTTATACTAGCTCTTTAAATATATCTATTTTCAGGCATCTAACCCGGGGCAATTTGAGAATGACAGTGATGTGCTGTGGCAACGAGGACACGTTCCAGACACGATGGTCTATCATGGTCGAGTGGGGATTAACACAGATGCACCAGACGAAGCGCTGGTTGTCTGTGGAAACGCCAAAGTTATGGGCAGGCTCATGCATCCCTCCGACAGCCGAGCCAAAGAGAATATCCGAGAGGTAAGGGCTGCGGAGAACTTCAGGCATTTCTATTTGCACCACAGCCTGTGTGTGGCTCTTTGCTGTGACCCATGCAAAGTAGCTTATTTTTTTCTGGGACTGCTGAAATGCAGGTCAAAGGAAAATAAGGGTAGCCCTGTGCTCTATGCAGCCATCACCTAGGAGCCTCTGAAAAGGCAGACTATAGATTTTGGGGGTATCTGTGTAAAGGAGAGTTGTAAGGCTGAAGGGGGGCTGGAAACACAAATAGGAGTAAATTCTTCAAAAGAGGAATAGAAAAACTTGGTGTGTTCCACTGGGAAGATAGGCCAAGTGGGCACGTCAGGCTTGCTGTTATGTSGGTGAGGTCCTTGATACCGCGGTAATTCTTAATGCTTCAATGTGTGAATCAGGATCTCTGTGCATTTAGGTTGATACAAATGAGCAGCTGAGAAGAATAGCACAAATTAAACTGGTGGAGTATGACTACAAGCCTGAGTTTGCCTCTGTTATGGGAATAAACAATACCCGTGAAACAGGTATTCAGTCAGCTCTGTTCTCATTGTTCATTTTGCCCTTTAATGTCCTGCCTTTTAATGTCCTSCATTTCATCTCTTAAGATACTACAGATGTTCACTACTTCATATTTCCATTTCTGTATTACTGTGTTTCTCTTATGAAACAAAATGACCAAAATGAAGCATTTCTAATGTGTTTCTAGCTTCTGTTTCATTTTTTAAAGATATATGGGATTTTTTTACATAAGTTTGAAGAGATTGAAATATGTGAGCAGAAACTATTCAATTGTTACTAGAGAGAAATATGATTTTTAAAGGTTTCTGAGTTCTTTTTTGTGTGTGTTTGTTTTGATTTGAGGTAGAACAAAAAGTGAACTCATTAATTTTCCTACCACAGTGGGATTCTAGATCAGTGGGATCTAGTTGTAGCTTTTGTGATGGATACCTCAAAGAAAACACACAACCATGGCCACTGTGTGTCTAGATGTCAGTGCATTTCCTGACTCTACTTTCTGCTCTCGTGTGAACAGGAATCATAGCTCAGGAAGTGAAGGAGCTTCTACCTCAAGCCGTTACAGAAGCTGGAGATGTTGTTTGTGATGATGGAGAAAAAATAGAAAACTTCCTCATGGTTGATAAGGTATGGATTTGGGAGAGAAAGAGGATGTGTATATTTAGGCTCTTCTTGTATGAGTTATAAATATATACTATRTTTTACACTAAGAAGTAGGTGTGCACATGTATTTATACAAATAATCTTCAGAAAATCATTCAGGAAAACTGACCTCCCAGATGTTGGTAAATGGGTGAATTTTCTAATGATAGAATGTGTTTGCGTTAGCATCTCTATTATAATAATAAATGAACATACATAGAAATGGTAAATGCAAAAATATATTGCTTGTTTTTTTTTCTAGGCTACAAATAAATTACATTAATAGATTAAATATGCTAGGCAAAATATATATATTGCTGTATAAAGCAATCGTGACTTAAACACACTGAATAAAGCTGTTGAGGGAACACGTTCTTGAACRTCCCAATACTCATGTTATCCATAGCAGTGACTTCAGTTTTCAGGAAGCTATCAGGAAAATAGGACGCCACTGACAGTAGCAAAACCTGCTCCATGTGTTGCTTGTTATGGTTTAGAGCTCCCACTCCAACTTTTGTTTATATTTTAAGTATTCAATTTGTCCTTATGTAGGTGAATTCTCTGCATGTCTCTGGTTGTTGCCTCTGTTTGATGACTACACTGTGTCTTGCTTTTGTCATTGCTCTGCTTCTCAGGATCAGATCTTTATGGAGAACGTTGGCGCAGTAAAGCAGCTGTGTAAGCTGACCAACAACCTTGAAATCAGAATAGAAGAGCTGGAACAGTGGAATAGAAAACTGGCCACGCTGAAACGGTTGAGCAGTTTAAAGTCAACACTCAGTGAGAAGAGCACAGTCAGGTACCACCATCCCAGGCTTGGAATGTTCTCCCACTGTTCCCATAGAAATTCATAAAGCCTCTGTGGTAGAAGTCAAAACTAATTTTGCTTTACAGCAGAGTTCAGCTGTTTTTCAGCTGCTCTGTCTTTCAAATCACCATCATTTAAGTTGTGCAAAAAAGGCAATTTCACACATTGTGCAAATCACCAAAAAAAAAAAAAAAAAGAAAGGTGGCTTTTAAATTGCAGTCATTGTTATAATCTCTTCAGTAGTGTAAAGCAAAGGCAGACTACTTCCAGTTACAACCTTGAGATTTAGAAATAGCTGCTAAGGTAAATTTGCAAAACTCCTTTCACAAAAAACCTATCTTCAATGGAAAAAATGATCTGCATTTCCTATTTCTAAACCATTTCTCCAGGTTTCCTTTGAAATCAAAAGTAGCTTATAAAAGCATTCACCAGGCTGAGGTAGCCAGGAGGTTTTTGTCCTTGAAAATGAATGTAATGGCTTTTCTCCCTTTTTCTTTTTAAAAGTTGCAGTTGCAAAAGCCTGTGATGTTAATCCTATCTCTTTTTCATTCACCGTTTGCTAAAATGTTTGAATGTTAATGAGATCTTGTCTCCTACAGTCGGTATAGCCGAGCTACTAGTCTGTTGCCATCAAGAAAGTCAGTCCCACTGAAATCCAGCAAGGTGAGTGAAATTCAATATGTGAAATAAGTTTGAGTGCTGAAATACTGGTGAAAGATTTCATATCTCTAAAACAGAGAATCAAGTTCTTTTGCTAGAATTTTTTAGGGTTGTGCCAGAAGCCGAGCATGCACAAGACACTGTTCAGGCTCGTGCCTGTACATTTTGTGCRTGAGGGCAGATCTACATTATGGGATGGGATGGGATGGGATGCAGGGGGAGACTACCAGGAAAGAAGTGCTTAACGTAGTTTTGCCCTATGCAGAAATGTGGGTTTGGGTTCAGAAATCTGCACAATGATAACTCTTTCTGAGCTATATTCCTTGATTGCATCATCTCTGTGGCTTGCTGTTTGCATCTCCCAATATCCACGGATAATACTACTCCTTGGGAGTTTAAGGTCTTCCTAGTATGTCCATGGTACATTTGGAGAACTACTCTTGTCCATATGGTATTAAAGAAAGAGGGGATCTACATCGAATTGGTTAGAGAATATATTTTGGCCTTCTTCAGGACAGTACTCCTAGGTTGCTGTGTCCTGTTCTGTAAGATAAACACTGCTCTTTTGCCTATCTCACTCTGGCCAGTGCCAAAAAAATAAAGCTTTTTTTCACACAACAGATTTCTCCTACTGTTTAGGCACAGAACAATTACATAACACATAATCTAGAAAATAATAGGTCAGGTTCTCTTTATTCCACAAGGCCAATAAGATATTCCAACATGTGAGACTATTATTCTTGTTTAGAGAGTACCTTTACTATTGATATTGTTTGGAGAGGGCCTTTCTTCTGTATTTATATCAGGCCCAGTTTAATGTGGTCTGACTTATATTGGAAGCTATTCGTCTCTTAGGTGTGACCATTACTCACTGATTTCCCCATTTGATTTTAAAATACTTCAAGAGTATGAAAAATGTCAGGAAGAAAAGAGAAGGAACTGTTGTTTTTGCCATCTTTCCCATGTAAAGTTTGTGTCCCCAGACTGCTAACACTGTGCAACATCTAAGTAAAGTATGACCTGTTAACAAGGTTTACTTAAATGTAGTATTTCTTAAGTTACTAGGAGTAGCTTAGTTATATACCACTTAAATTGACCACAYATTATTTTCTTTTTGTAGGTTTGTTTCTCAAAAAGAGGGTCTTGCTCCAAGAAGATTTTCCAAATGACTATAATAGCTTTAATTGCTATTATGGCACTGTGGTAAGAACTAATTACAAGTTAACCTGTTTCTTCTTTTCATTTTTACTTGTCTCATTATAAAGATTGCATTTTTTTTCTTGGTTTTGGCTTGAAATAGATGGGCTTAAATTATTTTTTACTGTTCCTTCAAGTAGTAGTTTCAAAAGTGAACCACGTCTGCTTTTTCTTTCTCTCATTCATCTTACTCAAAGAACACAATAGATACAAATGAATAATGCAAATGTCTGGTAATGTGGCAAAGTCAAAATGCTTTTAGGAAAATGAAACCTTCACGGGACACAGGCAGGTCTAATCTCTGTCAGTGTCACAAAGCATGAAGCTTTCTCAGTGACTTGTGCTACAGGTCCAAAGCAGGCTGCAGCAGCCACGCAGCCAGTAAGTCTTCAGGCACAGAACGGTTGGATAAGAGCGAGTCTGCTGTGTGCAAATGCAGACCTGTGCCTGGAAAACTATGCTCAGGAAAACTTCCAGCTTGCTAATTTCTGTTTCTGTCCCAAAACCCTGGAGTTCACAATCTCTTCATGTACTGTATACTTTGAACTACTGTTATGGGTCTATTTAAAAGGCTAAATTGTCCATGTTTTTTGCTTAATTTAGTTGTGTGCTAGTACCTGACTCATTTGAACTACTGTTATGGGTCTATCTGTAAGGAAAAACTGCACATTTTTTTCTGCTTAATTTATCTGTAGGTGTATCAGTACCTGGATCATTAAAATCAGTGTGAATTTTCCCATTAGAAGAACTATGATCAGTCAGTTAGCTACTGCTTTGGGCCTGGGTACTTTCAATGTATTATTTATACCGTGTTATATAAGAGAAAGATATTAATCTACACATTAATTCTCTTTCAACAGTGCTTTGACAATATCAACTCTTTATGTACTTAGCATTCACCAAAGACTTCTGGAAAAACAGCCCAATTCCAGGCAAGTAATTGAATTACCGTTGTTTTCTCTTTTGGTCTGCAACACGGGTGTCCATTTCTTAATGAATTGTTTTTCTTCATCAGCAGTACTTCAAGCTCTGCTACACTCTTCCCTTCTACTACTATAGCAGGTAAAGTATCTCTGCTGCTCTGCCTCTGCATAACAGGCCTACAATTGCTGTGCTGCTACAGAATGCCAATGGACAAACAACACTTGTGAGAATTGTCTTTTTTTTTCCCTCTTAATTTAGCTTTGCAGGAGAAGAGCACAGTTTCTCAGAGCACTCTACCTGATGGGATCGCTGGGATCCCATCAGTGAATTTCTGTGACATTTTGCCATGTGACAGCATCTACTGTTGTCCCATTCATCAATTCAAAAGCAAATCTCTAAGTTATGAGCAAACAAACATGGAGGAGAAAGGTGAGTAAAAATATGGATTTCTGTGATTTCCCATATGAGCAAAAGTTATGTAAGAATCTGGGGAAGGATCAAGAAGATATTTAGCTTACTAAGAGACTGTCTAGTCCAGAGGATTTCAGAAGTCCTGATATAACTAATTGTCACTGCAGCTAATATGTTTTTGAAAATTTAGCCTGGCTGTCATCATAGTTCTGAGTCTTAAAATATTTTCTGAAGTATCACCATTCCTACCGGCCGTTCTAGGTCTTTCCTTCTTTCTTTCTTTATTTTTTTTTAATATGGAAATCACTAATCACTTAAATTAACCTTTGGCTTCAATTGGCCAGGAATTACCTGGAGGTAGTGGAGGATGAAGTAGCACATTTAAAAAATGGGTAAACTTAACAGTGTCACAGTGTGGTGACACTGCCCCTTTCTGTGGGCAGAGAGAAACTGAACTGCTACACAACATGAAACTTAGAATTGTAACTGTGCTCATTCAGGCAGGGGTTTCAAGCAGAGAAGTGCTATTTGAAGACAGAGATCTCTGAAATAAATTCCTTTTACTGGAATAGACCCCCTTTCAGGTACTGTCTCCCAGATACTATGTGTAACTTACCAGTAGGCATATTGTTTACAACCTTCAGAATATCTGTAATAAGTAGCTTGTACATAAAGGTATACTGGCCATGCAAGTGGCAGGGAAGAAAACATCCCTTGTTAATGAAGTTGTGATGTTCAGGCCTGATAAGAAAAAAGCTTGAAATATTATTGTCCAGTCTCAGATCTTAACATTGCTGGCGTCTAGAAGCAAGTGTTAGTTATGTCACTTGTTAGAGCAAGTGTTAGTATTACTAAATCCTGTTCTTTTCCTCTCCTTGTCTTGGCAACAATTGCTGCCAAGACAAAGGCTGTACCTAAGTGATCCCTATTGCTCTTAAGCCCGAAAGAGTGTTGGTTGATTAAAGAGACACTTTATCTCATTTACAAATGAGGGAACTGGAGGCAGAAGAAAATAAAATATGAAAACCTTCTATCTCCGGGTGGATGCTCTGGATATTAGGTGGAAATGCAAGGTAGGAATAAACACAAAGCATTTACCTTCTCATGCTCCAGATAGCATTAAGCGTTGATCCAAGAGTAAAAAATCTGCACAGTACACAGGCTACTGAAATGTTTCAGATCTGCACAAGTTTAATGAAGCTGAGTGTGTCCCCAGAGAGACAGTGACAATGTCAATATRAAATCCAAACAGAAAGAAAACCTGCGAGCTGCTTAATGTAGCTGCAGCCAAGATAAATGAAAAGGAAAATATTTTAACGGAACAAAAAAACTCTGAATAATATGAGAAGTAGTCAAGATAAACAGAGGATATTTTAGAAGCAGCTGATTAGTCTAAGGCATGGAAAGATAAAACTACAGTTTAAAATTACAGTTGCAATAATGCTGCTTTAGCAGGGTATATTCAACAGACCTATTCCTATTCCTCTACGTGGTGCCTGAATTTTGTGAGTACTGACACTAATAATGGAGGATCTTCTGTATATCCTAATCCTCTGTGTCTCAGATTTGTTGAGGAAAAGGATGAGCTGACAGTGTTCAAGGTGAGTGGAAAGAAAAGCACTCACAAGGAAGATCATATTTATGAAAAACAAGAAGTTTGACAGATCTTATGGAAGCTTGTTTCTTGTTATTTACAGATATCTTTCATTTGTACGTGTTTTACTCCAAATAGAGGACTAAATACCCACTAGTCTAGAGGTCCTAACATCCAAGCAAAAAATAATCACACAGGATATGTATGTCCATATTTTGCTGTCATAATTGTGCAAAGCTAATCTGTAAATACATTCTTTCACAGGAAACCCAAGTAGCCTGTTATCTGAAAGTAAGTCAATCAAAAATCGTAACAGAAGGTTTGATCTTGGAGACGACTGTAAGTCCCGCTTTTTTTTAAAAGCTTTTTAATGTATAATTGTATAAGTTTGAAAGGCTACCTTTAGGCTTGGAATTCTGCTGCTAGAATTGAGAGAAATTTCATTTATAACTGGTTATTATCGGAAATTAGAGCTTACGAATCCATTAAATGCCTGCACTATAATCTTCTTGTCATTGCATTTTATTCCTGTATCTTCATAAGATTTTTTTTTTAATAAAAATGAACTCATCTCAGCACCTATTTCCTAAATATGCACCTATTTCCTCAAGCAACTACTTGAGACAAAAGGCTTATCTTCACATGCAAGGCAAGTGGCAGTTTTCCTGACAGGGGCTTAAATCCTGTGAGGTGCTCCACACTGCAGTCCCTTATACAGCAAGAACTTAAGCATGTGAGTGGAGTATTTGTGTGCAGGGAGCACGTGCTGCTGCATAAAGGAAGTGTTTGGGCTTTGGCATAGTTGACCTAAAAGCTCAAGTTCTTGAAGGGATCCTTCTCTACCCTGGGATCCTGACATTACCTGCATTAATAGAGATGAAATGGAGTCTTTGGGCACAGGACTTCTGGCTTGGTGTCAGGCTCCCCTTTCAATGGCTAAAAATATTGATGTTTTTCTGTGATTATGAGCAGCCACTGATTGCAGATATTGTACTGCTATACTCCAGCAGGACTATGCCTGTCTTTTCAGTTATGTGGATGCTCTGTTCTTCCATTTGTCTTTTTTGATTAAAGATTGGGCGATACTTGTGTAATAAAACACGTAGACAGTGGCCTGCACTGAAAGCAGGTTGCTACCCATAGCCATGCAAGGAGTAGAGCCCACGATCTGCTTACTGCCTGTATACACACACATAAAACAGCAGCAGTGCAACTATGTCAGCACACTGCTGCTTGCTGCCTGACTCTTTGCAGGGTCAATTCACCTAGGGCAGAGCCTTGCCAGCATGACCAGGCTCTTCCACTCACCATCTGCCCCCTTCAGTGTGTGTCACAAAGAGCCTGGTCCAAGTTAAGGCAGAAAGTCTATGGCAAACTGAAGATCTTAATCCAGTCTGGTTGGTAGATAGCCACTCTGGTAACCAGTGACTTTACTCAGCTTTCCTGGTACTCAAAGCACCAGATAAGTTTTGAATTTGTTCGTTTTCCAGAAAGCAGGTTTTCAACTAGCAGTATCAACTGCACTGCACACTGCCCTGAATCGTATTTTGTGATATATGTGCATATATATATGTATATACAATGTATGCACATATGTATTTATATATGCAATGTTGAGCTAATTTTAAAATGTGAAAAATATGACAATGGTAACTAGAACATTAAAATGAACATTAACTAATTTTTATGACAATTGGACTGCYGTGAACATGGTCTTCAAGGTCTGGTCAAAAGAAAATGTTTCAGTATGAGGTGCTCAGGCTGTTTATCTGTGTAAATCCAACAAGGATCCCATGTTCCCTGTAACTTCAACATGAATGTCATCATCCAAAGGCTTTAACTGAGGGCAAATTTACAGCAGCAGCCACTTCTGCAGTGACGAGCAAGCTGGTAGATRCATTAACTGCGTTATTATTATGCTCTTATCTATGACTTCTGAATTAATCAAGAAGAAAACATTATTCCTAATATTTTTAGGGATTGATACAACAGTCAGTTCCATACAGATTTTGGAAACTCAGCAAGGCATTGACAGCCGCTATTGTAGTAAAAATCTACAGTGCGGGTAGGTAAATTGTTTTATTATGCTTTATTGTGGTGGGATAGGAGTACCATAAATGTGACATGGCTACTTGATGGGCTCCTCCTCAGTTTTCTTTGGTGTATCTGAGCTTTTTTCCTACTCTTTTACAATTTTTTTTTTCTTTTGAAAGCAATTTCCAATTTTTACAAAGCTTTTGTCTGTATTGAAATCCTATGTGCATTAATGTCATTTTTTATCAGGTCTGGAAATTACAGCTACGCTATTCCCATTGACAAATACACACCCACGAATGTAGAAATCACTCTGGAAATCAAGTAAGTGCAGTTAGAGATAATGCATTCATTACAATATAGTGATTCATTTTTGATACAAACTCTTGCCTAATTTCTCTTCTGTTACTAAATTAAATTCATCCCTGTTAAGAGGAGTGAGACAAACCCATGCAAAACTAACTTTAACTTGGACCTCTGGGGAGATCCTTTGCAGGAACATAAATCAAATACTGCTTTCAGGGGAATGATAATTTCGCCCTTCAAGGTAGGTATTAAAACCCAGTAGTCCTAAGCTTTAGTTTTCTTGTTAATTGAATAATCATGTACTCCTGAATTAGTAGGACTGCAGCCTTTGACTGATTGGCTTTTTTGTTGCTATTGTTTGTTTATTTCTTTGTTGCTTGTGTGTGTGTGTGTGTTTGTAGAGAAAAGTTGTTAGGAATATGCATAAAAACTCCCAGTTAGGAATATGCATAAAAACTCTAAGTATGTAGGTCTTTTTTTGACTTGCTGTATAGGCCCTGTAAAAGGGGATCCTTGTGTAAGGAGCATTAGCTCTGATAATCTGGAGAATTAGGATTTACAGCAGAAGTAAGCAGCAGACTTGCTTCTCAGTAGAGGTCCTCTTCTGGAATAAAGGTCTCGCTCTGTTGCGTTCTCGCAGAAGCAACTTACCCTTCTGTTGGGGCTGTTCTCTGATACAGGCCAGCGTTAGCCAGAAAAGCTGCTGGACATTTTGCTCAGTGACACCCGATAATTCCAGTCTGTCCAACTCCTTTTGAACTCCTTTTGAAGTTACGGATGGTCTAGAAGTCCAGTCTGTTGATCTTAAAATTACCGCCTTGCAAACATCCTCCTTTARACTTCTAAGTTAAGAAGTCTATGTTAAGTCTAAGTTAAGGACTTTATTTTGCGTAGATTTGTCCCAATCCTCTGAACAGAGATGAGAGGAAATAGAACTGAAGGCCCCACTAATTTTCTGCAGCACCCAAAAACCAGTACTTTAAACTTTATATAAACCAGTGGTGAAGTCCTCCCATGTAGGGATTAATAAAGTTTATTCAGAGTTTCACCCAAGCAGTTGCTGTATTTATTGTGAGTATTGGGTTATTTGTGGGAGGGATTTTTAATCTATACTTTTTCCATAACCTTTCACTTAAAAGCACAAACCCAAACATATTTGTTTTATTGCCATGTACAAATGCTTAGATAATAAATTAGAAATACAGAAATCCTTTATGCCACTAAACAAAACAAAATGAAACTAAAACACACGATGCTCGTATCTGGTCTAGAACAGAGGATGTAGCACATATGAATATTTGTTTGCACATGTACAGTAGTGAGTGTTAGCTATTTATATAGGCCTCTGTTTTGAGGCTTATTTGGAGTTTGTCTTCCATAAAACTCTATGCTATTGTGTTAGATGCCCAAATACCCTCTCACATTGTCATGCTATGTACTAAGCCRTGCAACCCAAGCCTGCCATGACTACAGAGTTGTATAAAAGTCATATGTAATAGCTGCTGATTATGAACAGGCTTAGGGTTTAAGGAAGTTAATAAAAAATTCTTGATTTATCTTAGTGACCGTAAAGATCACCCAGATTTCCAGAAGCAAAACTTCCTCCATTCATGGGAGGAAATGGAGCAAATTTAGAGGTTGATGGCTCAGGTTTTTTTCCCTTCATATCAACCAATTAAAAAATTTCCTCTGCTTTATTTCTCCATAATAAATCATTTGTTCTATTGTAAGGATTTTTTTTTTCCTTATTATTATGTAGCAGTGTATATATATATATATATATGGTTATTTTATTTAAGAAGAGTGGAATAGATCCTTATATTTTTCCTCTTTCTTGAAGCACCACAGAAGCATTAATTGTATACATGTGCAAATTCACATTTGGAAATTATTGTCCCTATCATGTGTCAAGCAAAAGCAGTGGGGCTATTTTCCAAGAAACCACACAGGTAAGATCGTTGCGGTAATACTCTGGCTTGTGGGAATCATTTGCATATATTGTCTGCTTTTCTGTCCTTCTCATTAAAAGTAATTCGCAAAAGTGAAAAGAAAAATGAGCTTTGTGGAGGAAAAAGTGTTCAGTTCTCTGTCAGTTTTATGATTAGCTTGCTCCTTTCCTCTTGCCCTCCAGAATGATGTTTCCTTCTATTAATTAGCTCTGTTTTTCCTAAAAGCATCAGAGTTTCATTGACAAGACATGATGATCCCTTGAATGCAGTTGAATGATTCTTGACACCAACAGTGTTGTGTGGATGCATTCTGGCATAGAGGGAGATCTAGAAGGTGGAAAAGACAAGTTATAACATCTGGTTCCACTGAGAAGCCTCAGAGAGCCCTGATTGTAAGAAATAAATGAACGAATGAAAAGATAAAAGACCCCATGGAGAAGATCTCCAGCTACAAATTGTGGAAAGAAAAGTAGCTGATGGCAGCTTATCCCTCTGTCCAGGTCAATAGTGCATTTGGCACTTGGCGAGAAGAAACGGTCCATTAGAAGCTGACTCGTAAAATTATTAGCCACTAAATTCTGGTYTTAGTTAAGGTGGTAGAAATCCAGATGTTCTTCGAGTCTACTGGATATAACTGGTTTTGGCATGGCCATGATCAGACAGCTAGGATGTGACCATCTGGTGTGAATGAGTTTTCTGTAGCATTTTGTTATTAAAGAAAAATAATCTGTTAGCTCTCTGAAGACCCTAAGAAGGCTTTTCTTGAGTCTAATCACTTCTATGACATTTCTTTTCCAGAGATACTTATGAAACGGAAGTACTTTTTGCTGATGACCTTAGGAGACAGGCTCTTCCAAACTCTCTATTTTACTGTTCCCACTGTTATCTTACAGGTTTTAAATCTTCATTTCACTGAAGGGACTTATTTCTGTGTGAARAGGAATTCATCAGTAAAGCTCTGTAGAGAACAAATATTCACTGTAAAAACAAGAGTTRTTTTCATGCCACTCTTTGAATTATCTTTATGGGAATAAAGTTATCAAAATGTTTTAGCTCTTCCTTTTAAAAAGGTATCTAAAGACCTGATCTTGAAAACTGTAGATCATCTCCAGTAAAGTAATGAAGACTTTAAACTCCCTTCAAAATCTAGGGAAAGAGAAGGCCTTTGTGACCAAGTCCTCAGATTTGTCCACATTGCTTGGGAAAGTTTAGTCTGGATTAAAAAAAAAGTAAGAAAGGCAGATACAAGGCTGATAGTGTTTCTGGGAAAAAAAAAAAAGGGTCAGAAAGAGGAGCCTACATTAAATTGGAGTCCTTTTACCAACTTTAACTTGCTGGTCTATGGTATAGTATGTAGTATATATAATAGTATATAGTATAATAGTATATAGTAAACATAGTATATTCTTAACTGGTTTTAAATTACTTGTTTTGGTGTTTTGTCAATTTAGAGCAGTTAGGATATCTGCAATCTTAAGATGACTTTTAACCTACTTTTGGAACAAGTTACATGCTTACCTGAAAGTGCTGCAAAGCCATCAGGCTCAAGGAAACAAAAGTTCTCCAAACTTTGACCAGTCTGCTGTAATTCCAGCACTCCTGGATATTATGTGAGACTCAAAGAAGTTGTCCAGGCAGAAATATCCCTGAAGCTTAATGCCAAAGCTGGTCAAAGAGACTTCATGGACTAACCTGAAATCCACACCCAAAGACTAAAGCTAGTGGGGAGAACTCAGGCTTGACCTGTCTCAGGATAGAAATGCAGCCTGGTTGGGGCCTTTTTTTTTTTTTTTCACAGGGATTTTCCTGAGGTCTGGAAGGCTCATCCTGTACCAATGGGCAGGACTCCTATACCAAAGGACAGTCATTTGGACTCTGGGCAATTCTCTTTTAAGTCATATCATGTAAGCCTCTCATCTCCAACACAGGGAGTATATCAAAGTGAGGAAGGAAAGAGAAAAGAGTTGAGATATTAGGAAGTGATGAAATAAGAATTATCATAGGAGCATCAGAATGGATCATTTGCCAACAAAGAGCTGAGGGCTGAATTTTATGCAGGGTGGAATAGAAGTTACAGGTACAAAATACATTATTTCATTTGCACATTGCAATCAGAAGTAAAATGAAATCTTCCCAGTATCAATTCTGGAAATACTGAGTGATGGTGAGGACACTGCTCCTATCTTTTGAATATACAGAGGAACTTGCCTTCTGAACAGGACTACCCTTACTCCTCCTAAATCAGCAGAATTGCTGTTTCTCTTTATTAAAGCTTTCAGGCCACCTGGCACATCAGGGACAATTCCTATGTGCAATTTGCTTTGAGGGCTAGAGAGGAAGCTCAGTTATTCCGAGCCAGCTGAGAGACGCCGGGAGCCAGATGTCTGTTAGTCCCTGCTCAGAGCTGATCAGAGCAAAGCTGCATCTGCAAGGCTTAAAGTCAGCACTCCGTCTTTAAATACCCTGACTGGCTCTCGAGCCTCGTTATCATAATTGCTTGCGCTGCATTTGTCAATGAAATGTTTCCACAGACTTTCTGTCCCTCCGATGTCKTGTGAAACAAGGTTTTCGGATCTCTTTCTCGTTTCTCACCTAGGGCTATCAGCATGTTTGGATCCTGCCCGTAGCTCGGTTGTACGACAGTGCGTACTATTTCCGTGTAGCTGCCCCGGTAAGCTGCTTTCAAACGGGAACACAGCAAAAAACAAAACCTCTGAGCTGAGAGAAGATCCTATATTCATCATCTTTCTTTATTTTTATTTCTTCAGGATCTTGCGGACTGCTCGACAGACCCCCATTAYGCTGGAGTGTTTTTTACTGATTACTACTTCTATTTTTATCGACACTGTGAATAAAATGCTGCCAATCTTTCTGTTTTTTGGGGGAAAGAACAYCAAAACTCTTGATATGAAAAAGGGAACTGTGTATCTCTGGATTTTTTAAAAAACTTTTTRTTAAGTTGTATGGTGTTTTCCAGTTTGTTTTGATCTTAACTTAAGAAAGAGAAAAATAAAGCATTTGACCRTGATCATAGCTCTGCACTGCCAGAAACTGCTTTTAAAAGGACATGATACAGTGGATCACCTGATGTATAAGGAAATAATCATGTTGTCGTGAACTTACTAGATATGGCAAATTTAACAATGAAATATGTAGAGGTTCTACTGAGCTGGGATATACTCTAGTCTTCAGCAGATGGTAAGATAATAAAATGTCATTTGCAGTCAAGAGGTCTGCTTCAAGCCTACATGTATTTCTCTTAGTATTAAGCCTTTTTATTTTTTTATAAATATTTTTCCCAAATGCAAACCAAAAACTTGGAGAGAAATGTAACACAGGGCAAAAAACACCCTGTAAAACGGTGCTTGAGCAGTTCGGTTCCTCAGTGTGTTCAAGCCTTCATGTTTCAGAAAGCAGTGCTATCATTACCATTATGCCTGTGCCATTTAATGGTGCTGCTCTTTCCATGAGATGGTTTGTTCCTGACGCACAGCTAAAAAAAAATGTAGCTGAAAYATTTGCTCCTAACATTTGCTCCTAATTTGTTTCTGTGCCTTCATCTGGCACTTATTTTCTCACTATTGCTGGATTTCTATCAAGTGTGACCTTCTTGCTTAATTTCGCTCTGGTTAGGGTTAACTGCAGTGTCCTCGGCTATGTTTTGTTTGCTTTAAATGACTCGCTATTTTGACTTCATCTTAACTTGGCTTTTCTTTCTGGCCTGGTAAGTATTTATAGTACAGGTGGCATGTTCTGTAACATCCCAGAGACTAACTGGACTTGGAACTATAGAAACAAAAGATCGGAAGAAGGTTTTGCCTTTAGTTTTTTATTGTAAATGCTTAAGAGTGATTCCCAAAAAAAGGGTGTCACAGAAGTCACAGAAGATAATGAAAGTGCATTTTGGAAAAAAAAAAAGATTGGGCATTTCTAGACCCACCTGCTTTTCACTGCATATTCTTCTGGGCTGAAATACTCTTCCTATGGCACTGCAGTAGGAGAATATAAGCTCCCAATATTTAGTGTTATCCAAACTTCCCATAATTAGAATACAGCCTGAGATGCTTGTGGGATAGCTTCTTAATGAATGGCTTCTTTGTGAAAAAACTCACAATGTGATTTTATTACAAATTTATTTGCCAGTTTAAGAATTTTCTGGCAATCCTTCCTTATGTGTGAGTTTGTCTTGTGATCCCTCAAAGAAAACAGCACTGAACTGTGGTTGCCATAGGAGAGTGCCATGGAGAAAACATGGCAAGGAACCTTTTAATTCCCAAACAGCTGAAGGAAGCAGGACTGATTTTTTTTGAATGAATGAAAAATGCTGTTCTTAAAGATTTCAGATGTTTCAGCCTTTTTTTTTTTTTTTTTTCTTTTTCTGTGTGTTTAGTGATAAAGTGACACTCTTTAGCAGTGATCATTACAATGTAATTTGAAGAAGTGTTGTGATGTGGCATACTGCATTGCTAACATTTTACACACATTGCACCTGGATTGAGAAACTCTCTTCCCTTACCTCTTTTTGGCACAATTCCAGACATCACTGACGTATTTTCTCCTAACTTGAAAGGGAATTAGGGTAATGCAAACTTCCACTGTAGGTGAGACAGACATTAATTGCAGGAGGCCCAAGCACTCTAGAGCTAGAACAGGACAATTCTATAATACAGTACAGTGAGGTACGACCTCACCTGGGTTACAAGCCGTGTTTTTCACACCAAGAACGTGATATCACAGTTCACTTTTTTTTTTTTCCTTGACTGTGACAAATTTGGCTTCGGTTTCAGTCAGTTTGATCTAGTGGTGATAGCAACATTTTAACTGAAGACTGAGCAGGCACTTTGGGACACACTGAAACCTATCTGGAGGTTTCACACTGAAACCTATCTAGAGGCTGCAAGGAGGAAATCCTGGGCAGGCAGCCCACGGAAACCAAGTGCCAGGTAGAACCACAGTGTGAAACCAAGTGCCAGACCGATCTACAGCAGGAGTGATCCTAGGGCATGACTCCCCAGCTGCCATAGTGGAGAGAACTGTGTTAAAAAAGTGTCTTCTGCTTTCTGTGGGCAGCCCAGTTCAGATGAAACAGCAGGCTCTTGCATTCGGGGAGGTCTGATAAGTAATAGGTGGGATATTTCTGTTGATCGAGTCAGATGGTGCGAGCCTGCGGTGAGAAGTTAGAAATGCAAAATCATGCCTGGAAGACCCGCAACGCATAGGTCTGAGGGCAGACCTAGAGTTGAGCTTTTGATAAAGTCCTGCTTATTTGTATTCTTCTAGGATCAAAGCTTGCTTTCTGTGATGAGAAAACCAAATGTTTTGCAGTTGCACTACAGTTGTTAGCAGGCTAATTGTGCCAGGGTGCGGCAATTGACTGGCTCCCTCAGGAGTCGTTTCTTAGATTACAAATCTATTGTGTWGATGGAACTGGAGCAAATCTAACTGAAAAAAAAAACCCTGATTTATGCTATCTTTACTATTTCTCTCCYTATTAAAATTGATAGTTGGAACGGTGTCAAAGAAGGTAGGTTCAAGGTAGATATAGCAGCTAGTGCTTCAACACACGCAGAGGAGGGCAGCACRGGCAGTGCCCGGTGGCTGAGCTCAGGCAACTCTGTCCCTGAGCTGCCTCCGGCATGTGTCCAAGATGGGATTTGTCCAAGGCCAAACACACCATCAGTGAGATTTAATATTAAGGCAATTCAGGTGGTCCTTGTATAGGGTAGGTTAAAACAGGAAAAAATGGTGGGCTCTGTAAATAAGTACTTCAGGCAGCCTGGCCTCCTCGTAGCTGGCTCCSCTCGCTCCACATAGTGTGTTTTTAGTCATTAAAAGCTGCACATGGGTGTTTTCATGGTGAGTACGAGCGCGGCGTTGAGAACAAGAGGTTTCACACTAGCAGCCCTGGCTGTAACCTGGGTTCCTATGGTCGTGCAGGTGGGGTGGCTGGCTCGGGCAGGGTGACATGGCCATGGTGACAAGCCTTGACTTGGCCTTGACTTGYCTTGACAAGCCTTGACCCTTTGCCCTCTTGCCCCTCGACCCTGCCACAGCTGGAGGAGCCCCTCACATCTGCCGGCGAGGGGCAGGAACGAGGCTGTAGCCTCCACCGTTCTCTGGGTCCCTCCAGGTCCTTGCAGGCTCCCACCTGCACCATCTTGCTGGGCTTCTTGCAGTCATTCAGCACCGCTCCCCTTTGAACCACGGCTCTGTCCTTCCTACATGCCCAAATACTGCAGAAGCCTTCACCTTCTTGCTACTCTTGGTCTTTGAGCAGGTACCCTTTTCTCTTACTTGACTAGCTGTTTTGCAGCCATCCTGTGCCCTGCTTTGCCCTTTCCAATGAAGGAACTTGTTGCAATACTTTAAATCTCATCCTTTAAAAGTAGGTCATTGTCTTAGCAAAGGGGAGGGGAGGAAACTGGCTTCTTATGAATGGGACTTAGAACTCATTTTGTTGAAGGCAATGCTCTAGTTTCTTGTTGATGTTAAATATATTACAATTGCCTGCGCACAGTAATATAAGCACAGATCTGCAAAGTTGAGCTTAATGTTAACTTAGCTGGCAGAGTGACTCTGTGGGATAATCAGTGTTTTGCATTTTTCATTCAGATTTAATGTTACGCTTTCCCTTCCACAACATAATCCAAACCACAGACCAGCTGGCTGTCTTGATTAAAATCCTCTTCCTGCTCTTTATTAATCTTCATGGTTCTGTCCTAGAATTTTGAAGTGGTCATGGTGTATCAGAAAAGAAAATTGTTGCAGCCAAATGCAGTATTTATAAATCAGGATTTCTGCCTAAAGCATATTGCTGATTCCTGAACTARGTTACATCCAGAATGCTTCATTGCATCCACGCAGCCTTACACAAGTTTGGAGCAAAGCTCTCCACATCAACTGACATAGTCAGTGGCAGTATCTGAATATCATCTATCTTTTTCTGATTTCTCGCAAAGGCTGATTAGGACCTCAGGTCTTGTTGCTGAGCCATTTGGATCTCTACGGACTCTTGGAACAATCTATTTGGATTGTTCACATGGCCATATCCTGTAATTATGTCACCTTTAGACTTTTGGCCAAAATCAGTACCATCTCCTAAGAATCTTTCCAAGTAAGTGTCACGATGGAGGAATAAAGCTTATGGTCAACTAAGTTATGCCAGTTGAAGAYTCTGCCTGCCAGAGTTTCTCAGAAGTTTTTATCTAAGAAAAGAAATCCTCTAGCTCAACATGTCTCACCATTTCAGGGGTACCCAGCCTACAGGAGAGTAGGACAAAGTTGGGCTCTGAAATGTGTTAAAAACACAGCACTTCATGAGACCAAGGTAAAGGAAGCTTCCTAACATGGCTTCAACACAAGTTTTKTCTATCTGGGAGATGGTCTTTTGGGAGTTGAACTGTTTTCTGTTTTGCTGATATCATACATCTCATTAGGGTCGCTCTCCTGGAAGCCACATCTCTCAGTTCCTTGGGTGGTTTGAAGACTGCTGCAACCTTATGATTTTGCTTACTTTTCTCTTATCTTCAAAGAAGCCATTCCTTTTTTTTTTTTTTTTTTTTCCCCCATATGTTGGAGGATCTTGGGTCTAGAAAAGTTAATTCTGCTTTCTCCTCTTTGAAATCTACTTTTGTCAGTTATCAAGGAAATAATTTTCAACAGTCTGATTTTTAAGCTGTAGAAACTTGCATTAGCAGTTGGCTGCGATAACTTTCTCCTGACTGTCAGGATGCTGGTAAGCGTTGGTTGTTCAGATACTGAAAGTTCATGAGTCCTACTTAAAAAGAAACAACTCCCAAATGTTATGGGATGAGGAAGGTTGAYTGCCTTGTTGTTTCTTCTCATGATTATGCAG